TTCATTCCCCATCATGACTTTTCAAATCTCTTACTAGTATCTTCTCATCCTCAGTTAGACCATGTCTCTTTTGTCTTTAGAAGAAAACCATTGCTTCAGCTTCAAAGAAAGAATCGAGACCCTTGTGCATGATCCCCTTGGATTTACCACTCTACTCTCACAACCCACGTAGCTCATCATCAGTCCTCATTTCCTTTGCACGAATGTTAGAAGATGAAGGATTTTTCTTCTGTTTCAGGCCAACTCTTCCATCCATGCCTTTCCCTTGATGCCCTGTCCTTCCTGAGTCTTACTCTATGGGCCATCCCTTCCTTTGCCTACAACCCTGCCATTCTCTTGTGCCCTTTTCCTCAGTCTGGAAACATGACTGAGTCTCACATTCTAAGATCTGTAGGTCCCCACAGTAAATCTCCTCAATCTCCGTCCTCTCCTTACCATCCAAACTTCTCAAAATAGTTGGCTACATCCATACTCTCTGCTTGTTCATCTCACATTCCCTCTTCAACCAACCGCAGTCTGGATTCTGACCACACTGCTCTGCAGCAATTACTCTCACTAAGAGTATCTGTGTCATGTCAATTACATTTTATTCATCCTACTTTGCTTTTGTGCTGGATTTAACAATGTTGATTATTCTCCCCATTTTGAGCACTCTACTCCCATGACGCCAGACTCCTGATTACTTTTCTGACCTCTCCTTCCCTTCCTTGGGGCCTTTTTCCTGTGCCTTGGAGCGATCAGCTATACACACTCTTTGAGTTATATTTTCCAGGGTCATGGTTTCAATTTTCACCTTAACTATGATGTGTTCTCTGTTAATTAGCTCAGGCTGCCATAACAAATACCACAGACTGGGTGGCTTAAACAACAGAAATTTATTTTCTCACAGTTCTGGAGGCTGGAAATCCAAGATCAAGGCATCAGCAGGATTGATATCGTTCTGAGGCCTCTCTCCTTGGCCTGAAAGTGGCCGCCTTCTTGCCATGTCCTCACATGATCACCTCTTGGTCTGTGTCCTAATCACCTCTTTTTATAAGGACACCAGTAATATTGGATTAGGGCTCACCCATGTGACCTCATTTTACCTTAATTACCTCTTTAACACATTGACTGCCATACTAGAAAAAAAATGTTTTTCCCTCAGGCCATGGTGTTTTATTAAAGCAAAATGATCCTTTCTAATTTGTTATTTTTTATTGTTTTCTGTGTGTGAGTTACATGCAATGCAATCCACGTTTTTAGAATTAAATTGTCAATATTAAGTGTAACAATAAGAACATCAACAAGTAAGATTTTCACGAACCAACTGCAGGGTCTTGCTTCACGAGGTTCTGGGTTCAAAATTAGCCTGAGTTACACACAATTCACATGGCAGTCAGTGTGCTGAAGACCCTGTCTCCAAATACAGTGACATTCTGAGGTATGGGGGTTAGAACTTCAACCTATGAGTTTGGTGGGGGAGGACATATTTCAGCCTACGATATCTCCTAAATCTCTGTCTCCAGCTCAGATTTCTCCTTTAAGACTAGGACTATCTAATTGCCTATTGGACATTTCCAGTAGGATTTCCCACAGGAGACTGTTTAAAATTGAGCGAGGCATCTCTTCAATAAACACACACTTCCTACTGCGTTTCCCATTTCCACTGGTATTCACCCAGTCGGCCAAGGAGTTTTTCTTCGTTCCTCCTTTTCCCATCCATCTCCCACATACCCAATCAATTCCCAAATGCTACTCTTTGAACCTCTGAAGTACCTCTCAATTCTGTCCTTTTCCCTCCATCCCTACTGAGGCTGCCCTACTTCAAGCTGTCACCTTCTCTTGCTTTGATGATCACAACTCTTCTTGGTTTGTCTCTGTTTCCATTCTAGTCCCGAGTCCATGCCCCGTATAACTGACAGAGTATGAGATCTAAAACCCAAGCTTGCCCATGTCACTCCCTCACTTAAATCTCTTTGATGGTCCCTCATCATCTACATACATGGTCCATACTTTTCAACATGGCAAATGGCAAGTTTTAAAGCCTGGATCCTCCTTATATTGTCAGCCTTATGTTTCACTACTGTCTGCTTCATGCTTTTCGCTTCAGTGACACTGAACTGCTTTTGGTTGCCCGCGTGTTCCACTCCTCCATAATCCCGTGTCTTCACCTTTGCAGGTGCTCTCCTCTTTGCCAGGAATGCATTCTCCAAACTCTCTCCTATTTTTCTCTTCGTCTACATTGCCTAGTTAATTCCTACTCATTTAAAAAATCTCAAATGGAAGGTAACTCCCTCGAGAAAGACCTTTTGGCATTAGGTACCACCTCTTTCTTTCTCTTACTTCCTTATTTATACCTATTATCACACTAATAATATATCCATTTCCCTTATTAGGCTGTGAGTCTCTTACGGGTATAGACAGAATTTATTAATCTTAGTCCACCCAGTACCTATACTCATACTATGCCTGGTACATAATAGGCACTCGAAAGGTATACTTTTGTCTTAGCGTCATGGCTTAAATGGACTCTATGGTGAGGTTCAGCTGACCAGATAAGTCATGAATTGTGTCCTGTTGCAATCTTCAAGCAACTCTTTAAACGTGTTCTTTATTTTATACACTAGAGAGTATGTTTAAATTCTACGACCAAGCAAGTATACCAGTTCTCTATAGGGAAAAAGCAGAGAGTCACTAATCTGAATTAGTGTTTCTGCCTCTGACTTAGATTAGTGATTCGCAGCAGGATACATTCAGGCTCATTTCCATGTTAGCTACAAACCAGTTCATAGATTCTTAAAAGCAAAATACATGTTTTTCCGAGGAAAAAATTAATCTTCATTTTCTGAAACATCTTGCAGAGATTAATTTGGCAGGTTATTCTACTGAAGGCGTTTATTTTCCTTGATGCTGGCTTTGAGGTTTTGTGATAAGAAAAATAATTGATGACCGCTTTGAATTACTCTATATTTCTGGTTAGCAAGTCCAAGACTATTTGTGTTAGCAATGGAGACAGTCATGGAGGAAGTGTATGTGCCGTGGGCCAGCACTAGAACGTAAGCTCCGTTGTTAGGAAGTTTTGCCTGTACTGTGCATTGCTCTAGCCTCACCATCTAGAACAACGTCAGGCACAGAGTCAGTTCTCAATAAACACTTGTTGGTTGAATAAAGTACATACCTTGAACCTGAAGAACCTGAGATATGTCAAACCCTTGGCTGATTCTGACTATGACGACACCAATCTCAAAATCAAATGCATCACTGAAAGGAGAAGCAAACTGGTTAGTGTTTTGAACAGCTCCTTCCATCCTCAAAATCTGCATTAATATTAAACATGTTTCTAGGATTTTGATATAATGAAACTATTAAAATCCACTTTAGAATATACCCAAGATCTCATGCCTTTTCTGTTTGTTTGTTTTCCCTTTGTGTCTTTTTAAAATATATTCTGGGTAGAGGTAACTAAATCATTCACTCTGTGACCAATTTATTCAAATGAGACTGTCATCTAGAATTTTGATTAAGAGCTTGTTGCATACTTTCAAAATAATTGAATCTTTTATAAATGAGCAAAATAATCAATGATATATTTATAACAGAGAGTTCCTAGGCTACAAAAACCCTTTGGAATTATTAACCAACCTCTCCAAGGAACACTTGTTCTACAATGTTTGTTTATTTTTTTTTTTGAGACAGTGTCTCACTCTGTCACCCAGGCTAGAGTGCAGTGGGATCATCATAGCTCACTGCAACCTCAAACTCCTGGGCTCAAGCAATCCTCCTCCCTCAGCCTCCATAGTAGCTGGGACTACAGATGCACGCCACCATGCCCACCTAAGTATTTTATTTTTTGTAAAGATGGGATTCTTGCTTTTGCTTAGGCTGGTCATGGCTTGAGCAATCCTCCTGCCTCAGTCTCCCAGAATGCTAGGATTACAGGCATGAGTCACAGTGCCTGGCCTTCTTCTGCAACATTTCTGACATCAAGTTCATGGTTAAAAACATCTCCATTTCGTCTAAGGAACTTTTACCATTGACTCTGGACAGGCCATTTGAAGAAACACTTTTTCATGGCAACACTATGTAGTTGAAGATGGTTCTTGTGCCTTCTCTACATCTAATTCAATGGAATTAGATTATATAGAAGAGAAATAAAGTCTCTCTTTCCTTTATCTTTGTTCTTGTAGCATATTTTTTTTCTGGTCTTAAATACAGAAGCACGCCAATTAATAATTTGAGTCATTTGAAAATTTTTCTTTGAGAATTCCTTTGTTCAATCTTCCATGGACCTGAAACCTGGGACTGCTTGCCAGTAGGTCATCCTCCTCCAGAAACAATGAAGTTTGAGATTGTTCCACCACATGCAAACATATTTCCAACAACCAAAGTACACCTGAATTTTTTCAGATAGTGATATAAATAAGTTCAGTGCAATATGAATATCTACTCATGATTCAAACCATAAAAAATCTTTACTTAACAAAATAGCTCCACTCTAACACAAGTTGCCACAAAGCAAATTCTTCAAACACAAATCTTGTTTCTAATTGTCCTTGATTACAAAAAGTACACAATGTGCTCCACAAAAAAAAATTGGATTCTGTTAGGTTAGGTTAGGCAGAATAATGGCTCCCAAAGACAGCCTAACCCCTGGGACCCGTGAATATGTTTTCTTGCATGGCAAAAGAGACTTTGCAGATGTGGTTAGGTTAAGGACTTTGGGATGGGGAGATTATTCTGGATTACACAAGGGTACTTAAAAGTGAAATTAAGAGGCAGAAGAGGAGGTCAGAGTAATGTGATGTGAGAAGGACTCGACTGGCCACTGCTGGCTTTAGAGATTGAGGAGGGGGCCTTAGCCAGGCCTGTCTGAGGGGAGCTTCTAGAAGCTAGAAAAGGCAAGGTAAGAAATTTATTCCAGATCCTCCCAAAGGAAATACAGTCTGGCCCACACCATAATTTTAGCTCAGGGAGACCCATGTCAGACTTCTAGCCCATAGAACTATAAGAAAATAAAGTTGTATTGTTTTAAGCTGCTAAATTTGAAGTAATTTGTGTTTGCAGCCATTGAAAACTAATACATACAGATGCTAATCTTAAAAAAAAAACATACTTAAGACTATTACAGAGATTTAAAATCTTTTATTCAAATAAAAATGGTAAAATACTATACTGTTATAAAATACCCCTGGTTAACAATAGTACCGTGCTTTACTTTAAGTCATAAAGCAACAAAATATTGAGAAGGGAAGTGCAGTACAGCTGCATAATTGTCTTTCTTCTGTATTAATCCCACTGCCGTGGCAGTAAAGTCATTTAACTCTACCAATTCAGCTAAGTTTTATATTACTACAAATTTGAGCCATCTTAGGACTGAACTTTACTACCGAGAAGACCCATCGTTAATTTGTTGTAAAGCCCAGAGGCCCCCTTGGTTCGCTATTACTGGGTTTGATTATTTTGGTCCCTTTTCATTTCTAGAATGTTTGGGATGGTGGAAAGGTTGGCAGACAATCCCAGGTAATTCTGTACCAAATAATGGATGCTTTGTTTGAGGATTTACACATTTCTTCCCATTTACTTAATTTTTTCCCTCCACCCTTTTCTTTTCCCAAGGTGAGGATGAAATGAAGACGAAGAATCTGGATAACAGAGGGCAGACCTAATCCATTTCCAAGAATGTCTGGTTAGCAACTGACAGTGATTCTAAACATGTAAATATGCTCTTTGCTGCACCTGGTAAAACTCTGATCCTGATGCCCCGGTTTAGCCTTAACCTGATGAACTTACAACACCAGCAGGAGCCCGATGGCAGCACATGGTATTCAGGGTTTATATATTTGGGAAATACAGTGCACTTAATATATAGGCTCCTGACATTAGAAAGACTGTTAAATGGATTTCTGTTTGGTCAGTAATGCCTATAATTTCAGAAAATGAAAATTATTTTCTCATGCTTCTTTTCAATAGAACGAAGAATGCTTTTGTTAATGTGTTTTGTAAATCTGCCCGAAATAATGATAAATGTGATGCTCATTATAACAGGGGCAGAGGAAATAAACTCCTATAAGAAACACTAAGCATACACTTGTTTTGAAGGTGTGAGAACTTCTTCCCTGTGTACTACGGACTCTTAAGTGCAGCCTACCTCCCAGGGCCTGTTCTGCATCCTGTACTATGAAATCAGAAGGCAGCCAGATCCCAGACACAGGAAACCTTCCATTTCCAGGGGTTTTGACATAAAACATGGCCTCCTGGGCATAGTTTACACTGCCCCTCTTGTTTCTGGCTGAGTATTTTCAAGCCTAGAAGAAAGTCTTAATTTTCTAGAATGTTTCTCTCCCTATGTGTATAATTTATTTTCTCTCATTTGAAAGAAGGAACCAATCCAGGTAATACTTCGGGTATATATGTGCTTTTAGAAGCAGCATGGCACTGTAGTCATGAGTTTAAACTTTGAATTCAGATAGTCCTGGGTAGAAATCCCAGATCCATCACTTACTGAACTCTGTGATTTTTCAACATGTTACTTAACTTTTAATGTCTATGTCTCCACTTGTAAAATGGGAACAATAATAGTACTTACTTCAAAGCCTTCTTATAAGAATTAAATGGGATAATTCATGTTAAGTACGTTAACCTGGTGCCTGCTAGTCCTCTAAGGCTGCAGTCTCCAACCCCCGGGCCACAGACTGGAGGCGAGCAGTGGGCGAGTGAGCGAAGCTTCATCACCCCCATCTGTATGGGGTCACTGTCTCCCATCACCCCCAGATGGGACTGTCTAGTTGCAGGAAAATGAGCTCAGGGCTCCCACTGGTTCTGCATTATGGTGAGTTGTATAATTATTTCATTATATATTACGATGTAATAATAATAGAAACAAAGTGCACAATTAATGTAATGCACTTGAATCTTCCTGAAACCACCCTTCCCAACCTGCCCCCTCCCCACCCCCAGTCCATGGAAAAACTGTCTTCCATGAAACTGGTTCCTGGTGCCAAAAATGTTGGGGACCGGTGTTGTAAGATCTATCATTATTGCCTATACCCTAGGACTCTTCAAATATTTAGCTATTAGATGTCACGTACCATCTAAGACTCTCATTCTGCATACAATCCGATGCTGCTGCACCTGGTAGCAGAAGCACCTGGCATATGGGAGCCTCCTATCAGCAGAGAGAGATTCTGGTGTCTGGGACAGTAAACGAATTATTCAAGGCTCAGAAGAAGACAATGACTGATTTGGGCACACCAGCCAATCCAAGATTCCAGGTGTTTTGAAAGAAAAATTTCTCCTTACCTAGCGGTCCTTTGCTTTTAATCTTGTAAATAGATTTTAAAGTTGTAACTCTAAACATTTACTTTTTTCTTTGACACTAACGCTTCTCCCACCCTGCCTCCTCTGACACTCTGATTCCCTCAAGTTCGATTATTGGCGATGTTTTTTCACTTTGGGAAAGAATTCAGAGCACCAGGGGAATGTGCTCTTCTCAGGCAATTTAATCCAGCACAACGGTGTTATGTGAAGTGCAAGTTATGTACTGCCCTGGTTAGTGCTTTATAAACAAGAACATGTCTCGAAAGCCATCACTTACTGTATGATTCCCACGTAGTTCTCAATCTCTGTCAAGGGAGCTTTCCTCCAGTTTTTTTTATATCCAACCACCAGAGTGTTTGGTTTCATTCTTCCTAAGCCTGAGGCCTAAACAGAGGACATGAACACATGGGTAATCCTTACCGTACTGGGAAACTACCACCACGAATGAAAAATAATGTCCCAAAGAGCACTCAAGTAATGTTCTGAAGATTCTGAAGATTGGATTACATTTTAGTGCATGTCCTTCATGCCCGTACTCAAGCATAAAATAGAAAGATTAGTTCTAAATCATCTCAGCCATAAATGGATTTTAGATGACAGAAATGTAGCTTTTCTAAATTAGCAGTCATTTGCATTTCTTCTGACACACTCATTAAAATGGTTCAATAATTTAAAATCAAGTGAGGGTCAGCTTAACTGTTGCTATGCATGTTGTAACTTAGTGGTTCAAAGCTCGTTTCCACCTGTTATATCCATAATGTCATTAGCAATAAAATTCATGTTTGGAAAATTCATACATAAAAGGATCACTGAAACCTCTACTTATATTATTTATTGAAGAGTGACTGAACTATGTTTCCAAAACCTGATCCTCTTGCATGACAGTATCATTAATAAGCATCTTCCCTATCTGAAGTTTTGTTTCTCCCCATTAGGTGACAGGATATGGCTTCCAGTTAATCAAATTTAATTTGGCAATATTATGAAGCACCTATTAATTGCAAAGTGCTTCATTAGGTGTGGTGGGAGAGTAGTGAGGCACATTCTTTGGCCTTAAGGGGCCAGATATGGTGGAAGGGACAAGATATACACAAATAATTCTAACATAAGTACAAATGCAGTAGAAATACATATGCATATGGAAGCACAAAGGAAGAAAACTTGAACCAGGATTCATGGTCAGTTTCATGGGAGAGAACAAGGCATTTGTTCTGAGTCTTGCAGGGTAATTAGATGTTGGTGGGTGAAGATAAGGAGAGTAGTGGGAGTGGGAAGGCCATTCTGGGTCATGGGAATAGTAAAGAAGTGACCAGAGATCGACACTTAGAGGAGACAGTAGCAAGTTGAAGGAGATGGGCAGTGATGGAATGTTCCTGAAATAAACTTTGCCTCCAACAATTTGGTGTATTGCTCTTAGCCCAGCAGCTCCTTAGAGCATCATGTGGCCCTTGGCAAATGTGTGGTAGCAGGATGCAGTCTTTCCACGAAGATGCGGCAATGTGTGCCATGATTTCCTAGATGCAAAGAAGGCTTCTTCCAAACCGATGTAGTTGGCAATGCTTCCTTTAATGCCACTCTGTCCTGCCTTTTGCCATTACCCCTCTGTATTCCATTTTTATTTGAAGAAATGTGTGTGAATTTATGCTTGTTCAATTTTTTTAAATAATTTCTTCCAGATTAATATAAGATTTTTTATCTGTACCTATGTATTTTCTCTCCCTGCTCTCATTCTATGTCTGTATTCCCATTCCTAGTTGAAAATTTTCTTATTTTACAAATCTTCTGTGACAATTTTATATTAAATGTGTAGCCCTTCCAACATATTTAATCAAAGAGCTACTGAAAAGTAACTCACTACTGAAAGAAAAATCAACATCTTGCAATAATACCTATTTCCATGGTTTAGTAAATTAATAACAGATGAAGAGAGGCTCATTGTGGGTAATAGGTCTTTCAGAAATGGCTTCTCCGCATGTACGGCTACTTTGCAAGTGTTCTTAAGGGATATTAGAGACAGGAATGCATCACATACTCTTAGTCTCCACAATATTGTAGTTTAACCAATATTTTTTCTTTCCTGCCTGCATAAGCATCAGAGTTACCTGGATACAGTCCTGAATGCCGGCACTCCTAGACATGGCAACTCTGAGAGCCAAATGCACCATTTGGTATACAAAGAATCAGGACTTTTCAACCACATTGAAGCCAAAATGTTTAGAAAGCCAAGCCCTGCAATTTCTAAGGGCCTGTTAGATTGCTTTAAGGATTCGTTGGCACTCTAAATTATGAAGATTGTAGCTAGGGAAAGATTTTATATACTTACTATTGCAGAGATAAAGAAGGGAAGGAAAAAGGAACGATCAAGGGAGAAAAGACTGTGGGATTTAAGGTTGAGCTGTAGAGATTGTTACATTTTATTCAACATCCTGGAAATAATTCAGGAGGATAGGGAGATTTTACGCCCAGATCACCATGCATTAATTGAGTTGAGTCTAGCAGCTGCCCTCACACCATTTGCAAAAGAAAAAAGGAAAAGAATGTGCCTGACTTGAGCGTTGCTATATGCAGTAGGAGATGTAAAAATAGTTTGAAGTTTCAATAGGATCTTGAATGTCGTCAATCACCAGAACAAATTTGCATTTCAATAAGTATGGGGGCAGAATGTATGCTGGTAGCCAAAGGCAACCTAATTTCCCATTTCTAGTGTATCATTCATAGTTCATTGTAATAGAACCTCTCTGCTTTTGTTCTAGCTTTGCCTATCCCCAGGAATTCGAAATGAATTCCTTAACCGTCTCCATTGATCTCTGATGCTGGGCTGTCTAACTACAGCCATTCGCTTTGACAGCCTTATTAACATGGAGCACTAATGGTCTTTTGCCTCTGTGCTCATTCCCTCAATGCCAGCCTTACCTGAAGGAGACTTCGGACGCCATCTCTGAAACAGTCCGCCGCCACTGCAGCATAAAAAGCCTTGATTTTGTTCTTTATAAGCCAAGCCTGTTTTTTCGCCATGCCACTGTTCATCTCCTTAACACACAGCTTGCGTGGTCCCTGTACAACAGAATGAAATATTGTTTAGAAGCCCTGCTGTTATACGTCACACTGCTGTTGTTTTCTAAAGCACAAAAATAGCCGGCAATGCCCCATTGAGTTAAGAAATGGGAAAGGGGGAAAAATACCTTGCTAAGCAGGGTTCGCAGGGATCCAACATTTTAGAGAGGACCTGTGCTACTTACATCCTTCACTTTCTACCCAAAATATCTAGACTTATTAACACCTGCTTGATTAAGCGCCTTACTCTGAATGAGAGGAAGAGCTGAGGGCATCGTGGCACGTGAGAAAATACTGATAACATGATTGAAGAGGCTCAAAGGCTCAGGATAAACACACAATCAACCTTTGACCGAGTAGCGAGAGCCACTTTTAGGAACATCAAAGATCTCAGCTAGAGGCCATTTTCAAGAAATGGACAGGGCTCTTGGGAGGCAGAACATGGTGAGCTGCAAATCCTGCCATGAACTGCACACCTTGACAATTCTATTTGGCTGATGCATTGCTTTTTCATGTCGTAAAAATATCCTTGTACCACATTTCCCTGTGTAACGTAGACACATTTCCACTCAAATAAATTAGCATTTCCTTATCATTCAATGCATTTGTTGGCAAAAAAAGTTCACATACCTATGACAGAAGAAGAGGGGAAGAAGTGAAGGAAGAAGGAGGCAGGTGTTATGATGGTAGATAAGGCATTTTATAATTTCAAGATTTAGTTCTGGAAACTCATTTTTAACTAAAAATTCTATTTTTGCTTCTACTTCTTTAAGAATGCAAGCTACTCTTTTCTTCTCATGTTTTAATTCAACCCCAAAGGTATTTCTGATTATCTACTATGTGTCTGACAGGGTATAAATCTACTATTTTCCCAGGAAATTCTTTTAATTCATAAAGAAATTTGAATTTTGTTGAGATGTCTTAGATTTCATATGAATCACACGAGATCTTGATAAAATGCAGTCTGTGGGTCTGGGGTGGTGCTCCAGATTTTGCATTTCTAACACGTGATGAGGATGCTGCTCATCCTTAGACAGACCACACTTGAGTCGCAGTCCCAGAGGGTCTTGGATTGGAGCGAAAAGGCATGGGGATGCATGAAGAAAAGGTCCAGGCTTTGTGGTCAGGCAGAACTGGTCTCAAATCTAAGTGTGGCCCCTTCAGAGGTAATTGATTATCTCTGAGTTTTGATATCTTATTCTGAAAATGGGGACAAACTCTATGTTGCAAGATTGTTTTAAGTAGTAATAATAAGGTACCTAGTACAATGCCTGGAAATTTTTAAGTACTCATCTAAAGCTGGTTTTTATTATCTTAAAGCAGTGCTTGCAATCTCATCGAAGCCCCTTGACCTAATTCCATCACTGTGTTTGTTCTATAACATAGATGAAAGAACACTGAACTAGGAGTCAGGATGTTGGGATTAGATCTAGCTTTGGCACTGACTGGTTGATACCCTGGGTATGTCATTTGTTCTCGCTTGATGTATGCTCTACATTTATAAAAATAAGGCAATTGCCTGGGTTAACACTGCCCAATATGATAGCCCATAGCCATAAGTTGCTATTGTCTATTTGAAATGTGGCTGGTCCACATTGAGATGTGCTAGAAGTGTAAAATACACATTAGATTTCAAAGTCTTAGTACCAAAAATATATAAAATATCTCATTAATGTTTCTATATTCACTGCATATTGCAATGATAGTATTTTGAATGTATAGGGTTAAAAAAATAACTGTTTCTTTTTTCCTTTTTAATTGGCTACTAGAAATTTTTAAGTTACATATGTGGCACATATTATATTTCTGTTATATAATCATAGATGATCTCTAGTGTTCCTCCCATTTTAATATTCTATTTAAATCGAATCAGGTTATTTACATATTTATTTTTTTCAGTATATTTTCCAGATCCTGACAACTTTTCAAAGACAGTTTGGATGACTTTACAATTAAAGGAAAGTTAAAAAAAAATAAGAAACTTCAATGAAGATGGAAAAGGTAGAGAGATAGGAAGAGTAGTTACTAAACCAGAAGACCTAGTCTAAGAAAAGATATGTCATTATGAATCAAATTTAGCTCAGGTTTCCAGACTATGAATATATTTTCAGTCACCAGTCCTTCCTTGGGCATTCTAGACTTTAACAACTGCAAAAAGAAAGAATATTTTATTTAAGGAATCTCAGTGGTTACAACAGCCATTAGATAGAAGAATAACCAACATCTAGGAAAGATGTTGGATCATCTGTATGTTGAGTTGTATCACATTGACTATGAACCCCTGGGGAAAATGGCATTTATTTAAATAAATACAGTCTAATGTATGTCTATTAGTATTAAAAAAATCCAGATTAAACATTAATTGTGACAGAGAGATTTACTTTAATGCCTAAATTTGCCATTTTGAGAAGTCATGAAAATATTTCATGCAGAATCTTTCTTTGCTAAATGCGATTATAATATCCTTGTAGCTCACTTATTAATGTGAGGCAAAGAAGGCTGCAATACAAATGTAGTAAGAATAAAACAAACTAACAAAGAGGGAAGATATACTAGAATACAATTATTCAACATTCAAATATGTCATAGTCATAAAAATGGATTTTAGTACCCCATTATAATATTATAGAAATTAGTTTCTATTGGAGTCCAAAATATGAATATATAAATTAATTCAGGATTTGAACAAAGAAGCTTTAAAAATCTTGTATATATTAAAACTTTGACATTGATTGAGAAAAGGGTAGTCTACAGCCATACCACACTGAACACACCTGATCTCATCTGATCTTGGAAGCTGAGCAGAGTCCAGCCTGGTTAGTAATTGGATGGGAGAAAGGGCTAAAGAATTTCTAATTATTTAGTCTGGAGAGGAAGTTGATGTGACGCTACTTCAAATGAATGAATATTATGAAAAATAGTTTGCAAAGAAGTTCCGACACCATTAAGATCAAACAGAGGAATTTGGGCCAAGTGCAATGGTCTTTCCAATTTCATCTTTTAAAACATTGAGAGTCTTGTCAGTCTTTGTTTTCATTGCTGCTCTGGTTGGAATTGTGGAAAAGAGAATTTTTCCCTTTCTGATTTGGTCCATATTTCATCTCATCATGAAATCCTTGTGCCCATTTGCAGGTCATTTTATTCTTTCTGTATTTGATCATGTCACTACTTTATTAAAATCAGAACAGAGGCTCACTGACAGAAGGAGAATAGATGCATCTAAAAGAATACGCTTTCTTCTTGGCGGATGTGAAAGTCTGGATTAAGAGGAGGTTGAAGTTAGACACAAAAAATGAGAATTCGAGTTTCCTCTCGGTTATCTGGGCTTGACTTGCCCTCCATATGCCACAAAGTCAGGAGATGGGTGTCTTCTCCGAGTCTTCTTGAGAAATTCTCAAAGAGAGCTTTAGGTTTAATGAAGGGATATTTTATAAATTTTTAGGACAAAAAAGAGAAGGGGAAACAGACTGAAATTTTAAGAGGGGCTCTGCATGAGGAAGCTGGTAGAAGTTGCCCCTCTTCTCCTTGACAGTGGGGGAAGACAATTGAGGTTTAAAGTAATATTAAAGAGTAGGAAAAACATGAATCAAAATAGATTTACATCTTGGTACACATGTGTGAAAGGACAGGAAGAATATGCATAAAACTCAGATAACATTGCCCCTGGAGAGCAAGAGAGCCAGGGGTCTGGAGTGGTCATACAGGGGACTTCAGCTTGACATGTGATGGTTTATTTCATTTAAAGGTGAGTGGAAGCATTTTTGACAAAAACGTTAACAGTTATTAATTAAGAGAGGTAAAATATAAACCTCATTAAATTTTATATAGTTGAGCCATATGAAATTGCCAATATTCAACAGTTTTGCTCTTCAAAAGTGCAAATTTCATATGATTCAACATAATTAATATTTTTCTTAATGTTTCAAAATAAAAATAGAGACAATCTTTAAAAAAAAAAATCCTTATTTTTCAGCCACCAACACAAAAGATGCCACTATAGACTTAAAAGCCTTTTGAAATTTTAAGACAAAAAAAAATTCAGAAAAGAGGTAAGTGGCATATTTTTGGACAATAATGGCTTAAGGTGATTTGCATTCCAAATCCCAGATTTGTTGACTCAACTTTCGATCTTTAAAAGTATATCTATTTTTAAATTTGTTTTAATTGAAAAAAATCCTTGCCTTTACATGCAAAACACAATTATGGGAGAGAGGGACCGCTGCAGCGTGAGGCCTTCTCACATGGAAAACAAAAATGTGAGCGGACGCCACACGACTTTTAGAGTTGAACGTAAGCCTAGAAAATTAAGGGCACATAAATTCAAACTAACTTATCGGTGACGATTGGTTTGATTCTCTCTCCATCTATTATGAATGACATAAATGAGGAAACTCATAGACAAAGGCAGTGCTTATTTATATCAAGATACCTCAGTCTCCTGAGTAGCTGGGACTATGGGCATACGCCACCAAGTCCAGCTAATTTTTTTCTATTTTTTGTAGAGACCAGTTCTCATTATGTTGCTCAGGCTGGTCTTGAACTCCTGCCTTCAAAGGATTCTCCCACCCTGGCCTCCCAGAGTGCTGGGATTACAGATGTCAACCACTGCGCCTCCTGCAATTTGCAACTCTTGACTGAATACTTGCCTTTGGTTGAACCACTGAATTTGGATATGCTCAGAAACATGAGGGGATACTACAAGGTGGTGTCCTACTTCCTCTAGTCTTCCTGTGGTGATAGGAATGAGGAACAGAAGAGCAAAATTACTGACATATTGAATATAAAGCCTCTTGAGATAAATACATCACTTATTTATTTTCTCCTTTAGTTCAAAGGAGAAGAATAGATAGTATTTTAAAAATTACCAAGCTGAATTCTTTAAAATGAGTCCCCAAATTTGTCTTGACGAAGGGCCCCTCATCTGTAATCTGTAGGCTGAGTAGGAAAAAGACAAGAAGAGAGAGGAGGAGTTCCGATGGGTGTAAGAGTTGGTTGGATAGTTGCAAGGCCACAGCAGGTGCTTGGGGCCCAGCAAAGAGCATAAATTTCTTAATTTCAATTTCAGCAGCTTCAAGGGCCATGACCTCTGGCCCCTTACAAACACCATGGGTGCAGGAAATGGCAGTGGGGGCCACAAGCTTTCCATCTACCCACCAACGTTAAAATGCCAGTGAGTTCTAGGTCTGGCTCCTTTTTGGTAGTGTAACAGCACTTCCAGTGAGCACTTCAATGGCTGACGGCCACGGCCACCGGAGCGATGGAGCGCAGAGCCTGCTGTCCCGTGATTAATTGGGTGGGAGCATATATCCCACTGTTCCATCGTGGTCAAACTGCTGCATACCTAACAAGTTCAAAATCCAGTGTCTGGACCTGTTTTATTCAAGAGGGGATGCTTTAGGTTTTTGTAGACGGTACTATGTTTCTGGAATGACAATGGCAACTACAGTATACCCAAAAAAACGATAATGACAATGACAATATCAACAATAACTAAAATTAACTGAGCATTTACTGTTTGACAGGCATCAAACTCAGCACTAGAAAGCTTATATAATTCTCACAGCCATCTTGTGACACAGGTGCTATTTTTATTATTTTCATTTTATGACTGAGAAAATTGAGGCCAGAGAGGCTAAAATTATGCGCCTAAAGGGATTCACAGCTAATAGGTGGCAAAACAGTGATTCAGAACTTGACTGTTATTCTCAAAAACCTAGAAGCACCAGCTTCCTAGAGTTAAACACTAAATTGTCATTCTCTTATCATCATCACTGTTTAACATTTTCCGCAAAGTTGGCCTAATCATCAACCATGGTGCTCTTGGGAAAAAAATTTCGAATGGTATGCTGACTGCCCCCACATCCCCTTCCATCTGTTTCTGTGCAAAGATGATTGACGACTCAGCCTGGAGTCTAAAAATGCTGACAACATCTGCAGCCCTAGGAGCTCGCAGAAAGTAACTAACTGGAAAGTCATTAACTGATACAGTAACTATTTTCTGTCCCCAAGAGAACCTTGGCACCTGGGAGCAAGACTCTTGGGCCCTCCATGGAGAGACCAGCATAGTAATGTATAATGTGGTCCAACCAGGGCCATTGGAGGCAGCAACTAAGGAAGCTACTTCTGATGAAATCATATTCCAGCATCATACTCCTTTATTATAGTTAAAGCATCAAAGAGTTAATTAAAAGCAATATTTCTTGTCTCTAAGAAGACTTTTTCTCCCTTGCCAATATATGACTGTTTATACTCCCAGTTCATTTCTCCAGTCCTAAAGATATTTTATTGTCTGCTAAACTAAGTTTTCTCTAAATTGCCAGAGAAGAGGAACACCCCAAACTGCTTATTCCATCAAAACTGACTCCTATATTGTATTGGCCAAAATGAAATCCACTAATCCAGGGCACCAAAGTTGATAATATGAGAGAGGGGTACTTGATAAGATTTTAAAAAATTCTCTGGAGTCACAGTTGGTCATTACTTAACCTGTCAATCTTGCGTATTCAGTAGGAGTCTCTCCGCTCCCCACTGGATAATTGCATTGAGTTATATTGTGTGAGTTACTGTCATATTAGCACTGAGAGGAAAGAGAATAGGAACAACTGGCTTCATAGAGCATTTAGAATATTGCCAAGTCTAGCAGGATGCTGAAGTGCTGGTCATGATGACATGTGGTGAATTAGCCCCCTGCATGACGGCAGAGTTGACTGGCTCAAGGGTGACACGACTTCCTGACAGCCCTATTCCTCACCTATTAGAAATTTAAGTCTGATAGTACTCCCAAGGATACAAGTCTGCTAAGGCTTTCTCCTCACGGTATGATACAGAGCACACTCAGGTGGCCTGGACTGACATTCTGGCTCTGCCACTTTCTTGTCATGTGATCCAGTGCAATAATTTAATTTTCCTGAATCTTGCTTTCCCAATCAGTAAAATGATAACAGGGCTTCTTTTCTTTTCTGCCTCACTAGGCTATTGTGTGGCTCGAGTAAGGAAAACTGTAGAAAAACACTTTGAAGAATAGGTAAGTACTTAAGTACTAGAAAGACACATTGATACCTGAGGATTTTGAGTGGTGCGTGTGTGTGTGAGAGGTGGAGAGAGAGAGAGAGAGAGAGAGAGAGAGAGAGAGAGAGAGAGAGAGAAAGAATGTATTATGAGAATACTAATAGAGATTGGCTAGTTTGTAGGACTTAAACTTATTATTTTATACTTTTAATGCTTTTTCCACACTTGAAAAAATTGGTCGACAGTTATGGCTAAATTTTTAGCACCTACTTTGAATACCTACTAGCAAAACCACCAATAACTTATTATTAGTCCACCATATACTTCCTGAACAAACAGGAGTTCATTTAGCTCTGAGTGTTTATCTAAGACATGGAAAACTTGGTTTAATTCCCTAGATATCTGTAGTGTCATCAAGTTTATCCAAATATTTAATCTAAATTCTATGTACTGTCATTTAAGGCCATTATGTATTTCCTCATCAGTTAATCTATATAATAGCACTCTATCTAGCTCATTCCATCCTTTTATATTTCTTTAGACAGTTATCACCCCAAATGCCTTCATTTTATTTCTGAGCCAGTTCTCTTTTTCTTGACTCAAAGACCGTCATTTGGAAGTATTTATCATTTTCAGTTGGTCTCCTGTGAAATCTGAAATGCATTTTATTTACTCATTTAAATTCAGGATCACAGGCCCTTACTAGTCCTTGTTCTATGAGTCAGGTAGAAGGCTCTTGTCCAAACTGTTTTGCTATTTTTCTATCACTGTGTGCACTTCTCTGCTCACCTAAAATAACCCAAGGTGAGCAGGGAGGAAAAAGCACTTCCCCTGGGTGAAGTGGGTCTTACCACAAAGACTTCACAGCAGATGCAAAGGCCAGTGTTCTTGGTAAAGGCCTGAGTTATATCCAAGAGAGCGGGTCTTGTCATCGGTCCGCCTGTTAAGAGGATGCACTGGGGCCTGAAAGTGGAGAAAAGAAGATGGGAAATTGGCCATTGCAAAAAGCCTGGGAGCCCAGAACCACCCCAGGGACAGAAGGCTTGGAAAAATGGGACCACCTCTCCCCTAACTGTGTCTTGGCTTTCCTGTCAGAATTCTTGAATCATCCTGTCTACCTTGAAATATTTGTATTCTTAGTTCACTTAGTCACAGAAAAAGTGTGAAGTAAGGAAAAGGCGACCTTGTGCTCCTCTTGTCTTTTTTCCCCTGGACACTACCCTACCCCAAATCCCAACACGACCTATCCCTCTCCAACCAGTGCTTGACACTGCTTCCCTTAATTCTCCTTGCAAACTCAGATATAACTAATGAAGAGCCAAAAGTGTTTCTAAGAGAATTCAGTAGGCCATAAAGCCTTCAGCTGAATGGACACAATACCAATGAGTAAGGTGTGTGGGGACTTAGGGACATCTGTCTGATATGACGCCACGTAGGCCACCTTTCTGTCTCCATGCAGGAAAGGCGACACTTGGCACTTGGAGGGGCTATAGCTTGGGGTGGGCATAGCTCAGTGTGGAAGGAAAGAAAATTGGCAGTTTTGTATGATTACTTATTTTTAGAATATACCCATAAAGCTTACAACTACTCTAATGCACTTGTTTCCCAACAAGGAAAACCACTTTCACTGTGAAACATCACCTCAATATCCGAGAAGCCAACTTTACCTGAAGTTTTTCACATGGTCTTCCACTGTAGTTAATTCCAGAGCGTTGTCTAAAGCACTCACGTAGGAGAAAGCCTGTGTGGAGGAGCCCCAGTTCACATCTGTGGATAACGAAGAAAATTGGCATAATAGGCATTGACCTGTGCTCTGTATACCATGAATAATTTTTACAAGCCATTCCCTTCTATGATTTTCCTTGGCCATGTCAGCAGTGATGGGTGTCCAAATTAGAGAAAATAGAACGCAGTGTTTCCTAAAAGGCACACTGTGTCCTGCTAGGAACACTACGTGAATCCTCAGAAATGAGACTTCTTTCCAGTGAAGAATTAGACTGGAAGGCTGCAGTCCCAGGAATCTGGTTTGGTGGGAGAGGCTGTGCGCTACCCACATCGCAGGCAGCTGGACTCGGGAAAACGGTCAGCCCCTGAATCAATTCAAGGTGTCTTCCCTAATTTTTAAATTGAAAGGAAAAGCAGCATTTTGTATACACAAATAGTGTGCAGTAATCTTTATGTTTTGAACAGTAAAACTGAATAGCTCGGGAATTCTTACTTCCATGAACAGGGTCAAGGTTCTTTAGCAAGCACTTTAGTTTGAACTTTTAAAACCTAATCTTCATCAAAAGGGAGGTCAGCTCTATCATCCCTTGTCTTTTCTTTTTGTATTTTGTTCTTTTACAAATTTAAATATTAAATGGATTCTCTAAGTTTTATGAGATGAAATCCCCGATGGGAATGTACAGATACACCCCAGATGACAGACAGAACTAATTCTCCCCAGTCTTGCTCTGGAGAGTCAAGGAAATAGGTGGGGGATAATTATCTGGAGATAGAGAAACTAATATTGATTAAATGTTTACTGTGTACCAGGCATTAAGCATAGCACAGGCCATTTATTTTTATACTGATAAAATATTTTTATAAGGACATTTATATGTAAAGAATGAACCTTGAAGCACACCTCATACCATATGCAAAAATTAACTCAAAATGGATAATAGACCTAAATATAATTCCCAATGCATTAAAACTTCTAAAAGAGGGGTGTGACCTTGGATTAGGGAAAGATATCTTAGATAAGATACAACAGGACAAACCACAAAAGAAAAAAGATAAGTTAGACTTCATAAAAATTAAGAACTTTTGTTCTTCCAAACAAACTATAAGGAAATAAAAAGAGAATCCACAGATCTGGAGAAAATATTTGCAAAACATAAAATGCTAAAGGATTTGCATCCAGAATATATAAAGAACTCTCACAACTGAATCATAAGAAAACAACTAAAAAATGAGCAAAAGATTTAAACTGACACTTGACTAAAGAAGATATATGGGTAGCAAATAAGATGTTCAACATCATTAGTCATTGGGAAAACGCAAATTAAGCCACAGTGAGATAGCACTATACATCTATTGGAATGGCTTTTTATAAAAACAACTGATGATACTACACGCTATTAATTACAAAGATGTAGAGCAATTAGGGCTCTTATTCATGGCTGGTAGAATTGGAAAGTGATACTGCTACCATGGAAAAAAGTTTGGTAGTTTCTTATAAAGTTATATATACACTTATTATACTATACAATCGGAAATCCCACTCCTAGATATTTACCTGAGAGAAATGAAAACATAGGTCCACATACAGTCCTGTGGATGAATGTTTATAGCAGCGTTATATATAATCATTCTAAACTGGAAACAACCCAGATGTCCATCATCTGGTGAATAGATTTTTTAAAGATTTGTGATATATTCATACAATAGAATATTACTCAACAGTATAAAAGAAAACACTATTTATACATGCAACAACATGGATAAATCTAAAAGCATTATGCTAAGTGAAAGAAGGCATACCATGTGATATACGATTCTGTTCACGTGATATTCTGGAAAAAGCAAAGCTATAGGATCAGACATCAGAAAAGTAGTTGTCAGGGACTTAAGTTGGGGAGAAGAGATTGACTACATAGGGGTGTAAGGGAACTTCTGGGGATGATGGAAATATCCGATATCTTGATCATGATGATGGTTACAAGACTGTATAAGTTTGTCAGAACTTACGGTCTGCACATCTAAAAGGGGTGAATTGTACCATATGTAAGTTATACCTGGTGTTAAAAATATATAAAGTGAAAAGGAAAAACAAAGCAAACAGACTCCTCCAAGGTAGTTACTACAATCTCTGCTTTATTGGCAGAGTGAGGGGAAGGAAGTGTGGGGTGGCTCTCTGCCTCTCAGCACTGCACTCTGTGGTCTCTTGTCTCGACCAGCTTCAATCCACCTGGTTCTAAAGTCAACATCCAAAGTTCAGATCCAATTGTATTTCTCCAATTGAATAACCTCTGGTATCATCTTGTTGCTCACATTATCAGATTCTTTAGCATAACATTTAAGTTTCCTATTTATCTGGCCCCTAGCCATTCTTCCAGGCTCACCCTGTGCCCCTTCTCCTTAGCACCCAAGAACTTCACATGTGCTGATGGCCTGAGGCTTCCCAAATATGTTGCTATGTGCTTGTGCGTGTCCTTGACTTTGTTCCTGCTTTGCCTCTGCCTAGAGTATCATGCCCTGACTCTGTACAATTAACTTACCTTAGTCACTTGATTTTTTTAAACCTGGACCATTTGTTCATTCAACAAATATTTATTAAGTGCCTACTGAGTGCTTGGCCCTGGGAACACAAACCATGAACCAGGAAAGTTTTCCTGGACAACTCTAATCAAAGGTAACCACTCCCTCCCTTTTTCTCAGAAATTTGTTCAGATTACTCTCATGGTACTGACTATATTGTACTATAATTAATTGCTTAAGTGTGAGTCTGTGAACTCCTTGAGTACAGGGACTATATCTCCTTCATCAGGACATTAGAGGCAGAAGGGGAGGTAATGGAAGACTTGTGGGGTTTGGTACCACACACGCTCTGGTTCAAATGTCAGCTCCATGGCATCCTGACGATTACTTTGGCAAGTGGTCAACTCTTTGAACCCTAGATTCTTTATCTGTAAAATGGGATCAATAATAACTAATGTACAGCATTATTGTGATGATGAAATGAGTGCATAAGCTATAATAGATGCTCAACAACATTAACTATTGTTATTATTATATTACATTATGTTATTAATATCCACCTTACATATGACTCACCTAAGCACAGAGAAGCTGCTCAATAAGTGCTTAATAAATAAGTAGTGAGAGAGAGATTTGGAAACCCCATCCTATACGGTCCTTCTGATCTTACCTGGCTTCTTATAAGTCACATAGATGTAGAGGAAGAACTCAATGACATAGGTAATGACAGCTGCCCACCAGTTGATGATAAACATGACTGCACAGCACAGAACAGCTCCAAAAAGAGACACCCACATGTTGTAAATTCCATATGCAGGTCTCCACCCTGAAAATTAAAAAAAGGTACAGAAGAAAAACTTCCATGCTACTACCATCATGCCATTGAATATTATAAGACTATAACATGTCTTTAAAGAATTAGAACTTTTAGGTCAGTGTCCTAACTCTGTTACTATTTTCCTATGACCTTGGGGCCCCTGCTTTATGAAGGCGATACTTACACGAAATAGGATGCTGTAAAATTTAAAAGTATTAAGCACCTAGAAAATGTGCCACTCAGGACCCCTGCATACTTTCTGCATGTCCCCTGATTTCTTCCCAGACTATTAATACCAAATCATAAACATCTAATTCTATGCCCCCAGGTGGAAAGAAGCAGGAGAGATGGAAAAGAGTAGGAAAGAGGAGTGTCTTGGTGGTTCGAGAAAGAGAGGGTTAAGACAATGGGCTTTTAGAGCAGTCATCAAGAGTCAATCAGCCTGATTTCCCAGTAGCTCTTCCATTACCCTTGGAGGATCGTGCTTGCCTTTCAGAAATAATAATCTATGGAAAAGAGGGAGAACTGGCTTCTTAAAACCAAATGGTTAGCAATGGATTCTTAGACCCAATGCATTAATATGTCATGCATTTTGCAATTAAAATACTTCTCACAGTGCATACATGCATAGGGGGTTCCTGTGTTCTATCGGGTCCCTGAAATGAAAGAAACTGGGAGACAGCATGGCCAGGTTGGGGAAGCTCTGATTTGAAGGAAACATTTCATTTGTGAGTGAAGAACATTTGAAATTAGGAGTTGCCAAAACACAACAGAGCTTTAAAAGTCTTCAGAAGCAATTTCTCAAATGGCCACAAGATGGAAATAGTACTTCAAGAACATCACTGGAAATACCCTTATTTTTCTCTGAATCTGGCTCTGTGTGTGCGAGTGTGTGTGTGCACATGTGAGAAAGAGAGAGAGTCATTTTCTGGGTTTGTGTATCCATGTGTCTTCCTCTATATGCTTTTCTACTTTTCCTCTTTCTTTTTCTCCCTTCCTCTTTCCTTTTCTCCTTTTCACTCTTTTCCCTGCCTGCCTCTATTAGTTCACCTTGTTTTTCAAAAATGGCCATAATGTGGCACAGAGTCACACATTTCTATGTGTTAAAAGAACACAACGAAACAGAAAAGAAATTCCTTTTACTCTCTTCTGTAGCCTAGTATTGGGTGGATAAAGGTTCCCCTTCCATCTATTATTTTTTCTTATTGGCAGCAGGTTTTCCGAAGGAGACTTGAGATCTTGGCAGGCCCTAAAAGAGTGGAAATGTGTTTATGTGTTTACATCCCGGGTAAAAGTCGTTGTGGTGGAGACCTTCTGAATGTTGATAATTACAAGTCCCTACTCTGGTGGAAAGTCAGGCAAAACTGTACTGGACAATGGAAGCAAAGAAGAGGTCAGGAGTGACTAGAAAGGGGAAGGTTCATTGGTGTGAAATTTTGACCACTTTTTGAGCAATTGGTGCCCTGATGTTGCCAGCATCAATGTGACGCAGCCCAACGTGTATTTGCATTGCCCGCACTCAGCAGGTAATTATGGGAACTACTCATCCTTCTCTTCTGCACCATGGGCAGGAAACAAATTGATAGTAAGGAAGTTTCAAATATACACATTAATTCCACTTCTGTGGTCACTTTCACCCTGGAAATAAATAGTGGTGTTTTTCTACTGCTAAAATAAATGTGGTTTCTCTTGCAATGAATAATTTATTGCCGCAGGAGAAAACTGACTTTACGGTTGGTCAAAAAGGCCATTGCTCAAATGATTCTTTTTCTATTTCAGAAGTCATCCCCCAACTCACTAAAATAAAGTGGATTACACTTCCCACTAGGATATAAGGAAACATATAAACACAGATTGAACACTTTTCACTGACTTATTTCATTTTATTGAAACAAACTAACTGTTTGCTTAGGTGTATTTTAGCTTTTTGAAAGTCAGCTTACCTGGAGATTTGGCATAAGAGGCGTGAAAGCAGGAGAAATTAATAAGTGCATATGAGGCCAGGAAAAAGTTGGAGATGATGGGAGCGATGGTGTTCAGTTCCGCTGTAAAAGAAGCAGAATTGAACGTGTACATATGAGTGATGAGAGCAGGGCCGGAACAGCTGTTAGATCCTGGAAGCTTGACTTTATTTGGAAATTGAAAACATAGCTAGCATCTGTCAAAGTTTGGGAAGTTAGTGATTTTTCTTTGGGGGCTACATACATTCTCTTAGCCAAGGTTTCCATAAAGTAAGTAAGAAAGTCTACCAATCAGAAAATGGAGAATCAAGACCTCTACCTACAAAAAATTCAGGTAGGAGTAGGGAGGTGGTTTGGGAACTGAGCATATGATAAACTCCCCTGTAGCTATTCTGGAGGCACCAAATCCTGTGTTCTTTATCTGCTATGTATACAGTCAAAAGACTCTGCAGGGTATCAGTTTAAAACTCCCAGATGGAAATATCTCTGTATGTACCCAATATGCTTTCTCCGACTTCCAGGACTCTTGTGAGTCATTTCTATTTTTCCATATCTCTAGAGAGTTCCACCTCTTAAGGCTTGCTAAAAGTACTTTTGCCTCCATGGCTAAATATCCCGTATGATTGACTCCGAGCTGGATTGTTTACTGTGCGACATAAGAAAAAATACAGGGACATCCTCCTTTATCTGAAGGTCAGACATCTGTCAACCTAAATAACGCAAATGCAGGCAGCTGGGTGTGATTCTAGAACACGGATACGAACAAGAAAGTAGCCACAAACAGCTGCCGTAAAGCTTGTGCATGAAGCTCATTTACATTGTTCTGAAAGAGTGATTTTTAGAGGATATTATTTAATTTATACAAAACTGTTAAAACTTTGGTAGCTTTAATCACTTAAAAGTGGCATAGGGCAATGATGAGGTCTTAAAGCCTAAATTACAAAATTGAAATATCTCTGTATGTAATCACTTTTTATTTAATTCTAAAACATTTAACAAACACAGAGAGTTATATATTCTCTTCTTCTGCTTTATGGAAATCTTATGAGGATTTATGAATTCTCATCACTTCCTGAGTTTAATAGGTAATGATGAGGAGCTCATCGCTTGGTTCCGCTGTGCCGAGGAAGGCTCTGCCTGCCTGTGTGTGGTTCCTGTTGTCCTTTGACTTTTGCTTCTTTTCCTCTCATATGCTCATCAGAAAGGCGGGCCTTAGGGAGGAATGAGGACTGTGCATGCTGAAGCTGATGAATGTACCTCTCCAAGATTATGTGGCTGTTTCTATATCGCTTGGGGAGAGGAAGTGGAGATTATAGCCTAGGTAAGAGTTTCTCAAATATTAGTGGCCCACGAATCTCTTGAGGAGTTTGTAAAATGCAGATTCTGTATCCTCAGAGATTCTGACTCAGTAACTCTAGGAATTGAGCCTAAAATCTCTGCACATTGACAAACACCCTGGGTGATTGTGATATAGATGGTCAGTGGGCAATATTTTGGGAACGCTTAACATCAGGCCAGCAGATACAGCAGCTGGGGGAGATTCTGGAATTAGACAACATCAGGCAGGTTGGAGAAAGGATTCAGTTGCATTTGGTTGGTGGATTTCCAACACTCAGATTTAAAGAAGAGATTAAAGTCCAAAGTCTACCTCAAGTTCCTCAAAGCCCTCTGCACACAAGGATTTCTCATTTCCTCCTTAGACAGACTCTAATATTCCCAAATGGGATCTTAAACATAAAACAGGTAATTTCTCAAACTAAAAGGAAAACCCTATGAGTAATGATAAGAATTCTTTGGCTCTAAGAACAAGAAATCTACAAACCAATAAGAATAAACGCCATGGCTATAAAAAAAGTGAGAATGTATCCTCTCAGGGGTTCATTGTTTTTCCCATATCCCTTTGCAAAGAACTGCAGGGCTTTGTAGATGTTGTCCTTGCACAGAGCCTAATGGAAAAGAAGAGGAGAAATTTGTCATTTATATATGTATGCACAGTCATTTTCTCTAGGTGATTCAAACAAGAATATTTGGGGAAAGATTAAGTGATACACAATATGAGGCACAAGTTAACACTGCCGTTTATCATTCTTTATATTATTTGAATCGATCTTGACTATGTGGCAGACATCGCACTTGAGCCAGATGCAAACATTAACTGCTCCAGAAAATGATGGAAAATGATTGCTGGTGAGAATGAATATCTCAGCTTGAGCCACATTCAGTGGAAACAGCAATAAGGAGAAGCACAAGGTCTTGTGCCTGTATTACCTGGAACACTTTGGGAGCACTGACAAGGGAAGCCAGGGCAGAGGAGAGCGTTGCAGAAAAGATTCCAGCAGTGATGAGGGGGCCAAACCCTGACACCATGCTCATGACCTTGGGGAGAGAGGTTCAAGTCAGGAGGCTCATCCAATAAACAGTAAAAAAAAAAAAAAAAATGCCAAATTTTTATGCAAATGCTTCCCTTTCCACTTGAGATTTGGAATCTCTTGTATAAGCTAATTGCTTCTAACCAGATTTTTTCCCCCCCTGCTTCATTCTCAAGTTCTTAATTTTATTTGTTCAAAATGGAAATGGCCCTTTTTGTTATTTATAAATTAATAAATGCTCACCACAATATATCCTGAAAGATACTGGAAAGAATAAAGAAGGAAATGGTTTCAAGGATTTTAATAACATTTCCCCCCCTCTATTCTTCACAGTTATGTGTTTCTTTGATGGTAGGAAAGTCTATCTAGCAGGAAGTACTATTTTAATAAGGTTTGGGGAGGGGCTCCAGCTGTTTACTAGTCTTTTAAAAGACATTAACCTTTCTTCTTCTTCCTACACGCAGAGGCCTTTCAAGCCTTTGCTTTTTCTGTGCTCATTAAACGTAATTTTAGATCTGAGACATGATGAGATTCTATCACTTTAAGTCATATTTTGGAATAATGACTACAGCTGAGTTAATTTCTCTTTGTTGGTTGTTAAAATAGATGAATGAAGCTTTCATGACAAATTTACTTCTCCCTCTGCTCACCAATCATGCAGACAAATTAATGTTTCAAGTTCTACGGTTTTCCCAACTTCCCTTGTTCCTTCCCTCTCACTTACCGCCCCACTCCAGCACGCACAATTTCTGTCTGTCTCGGCCTTGTCTTTTGGGCTCTCCAGGGCCACCTCAAAGGCTTTTCCTAAGTGGAAGCCCATGCATGAAATGCACTCCGAGTGCTAAGTAATCTAAACGTCTCCTTCCCACTATGAAGCCTTGCACAACTGATTGGAAGACGCACAGTGCCAGGTGGTGATCTCTCCCTAGTGACACAATTCATACCACTGCCTGTTGCCCTCCCACCGCCACAGTAAATGTAACCACAGGATTTGCTACTTCATCATGCCTGTATGATTTCTTTCCTCTCACACGAATTATTCCTCGCTGAATTCATATTGGTTAATAATCAATCAGTTGCAGATTCGGACGTTTTACTGTACGTGATGTTCTAAAAATGAAAACAATAGCAATAAACATGATTTTTTTGCAGTTTGAACCTGGAAATTGTTCATCAGTCCATATTGACACGGTTCATGCCGACATCTGGAGAAGTCATAGCCCAGCCCACAGGCTGCTGAACCATTGCAGTTCATCCCAGAAATGATGGTGTCATTCATGCTCCCAGTGGCATCTCGGACCACACAGGCTCCTGTAGAAACAACCACGGCTTGTCATTTCTTTATAAGTATTCTGCTCCCTTGGGTTTTCTTCTGAAAACGTACTTAGTTTACTCTGAGTCTGAACAGGTCCATTTCCTACCCTGTGCTCAATGCCAATGCTTCTTGAGACATGGTAACTGTAGGCTCCCATTCCCTGGGCCCTGCAAGAGCCCCCTGTCTGTAACCAGCTGCCATTTCAACTGCCGGTGTGGTTTAGGTTTGGGTGGTAGGAGACTTGGGAGTTGAGACTGTCTTAATTTCTGATCTCTTAAAAGACACTTGGTGGGTACTTTGAGCATAATACACACTCAATTCATATTTATGGCTTAGTGTTACTGATTGGGTGTTTTTCAAATAGAAGGATTTGTTTCCTCATCTGCAAGAGAACCAGGGGATGGCATTATGGAATTCTAGTTTAGAGAACAAAGCCCTTGTTGTCAACTAATGATATTCTTTGCATAATTTTTTAAACAGAATTATAGTTGTACTTTATATACGAATTTAATGGTTTAAATAATAAAGAAAATGTTTTAGGATAAAATGGTAAGATTTACTAGGTAATGGTCAAATAATGTTTATCAAATATTTATCTCAGTTTATCCATACCGTAATTTTCATACATTTGAGTGTTTCTGTTATTTTCTGTTATAAACATTCTATGATGCACATCTTTATGCATAAACTTTTTCTTCTGTATTTCAAAATATTTCTCTAGGATAGATTCTCAGAAATGGAATTATGAACATTCAAGCCTCTTGAAATCATTGACTTCCCCTTATGAATTTTTCTAACTGTAATCTTTGCCACTATGTATTTGATAGGATTATTAAAATATTTGAATATACATATTAAATATATTTAAACTTTCCTGAACTACATGAGGATAAATATTTTACAAACTAAATACCAACCAGTAAAATCGTTCACTTTGCTTTTCAAACTCCACCCAGGATGGATTCCCATTCATTGCTAATAACTTTAAGACAGGTCCCAGTGATGGGAACCACTGGGCACCCTCCATCTGAGCCATGGAATTCACATTTTTTTAATCTGGGAAAGACTTAAAAATCATAGAATCTTAGAGATGAAGAATAATCAGTACAGGAACTCTTTTTCTCACAGTCCTGAGAGGTGGCTTGGCAGCCTCTGCTTAAACCCTTGAAATTATGGATGTTGATTACCAAGCTAAACCATCCATCCCAGATTTTACCTCTTTCATTGTTCATTTGTGTTGAATTGACTTTTTTGAATCCTGTATTTTAACCTCTGAGTAACAGATCTCTCCAATTCCCATGAGCCAGGCCATGAGCCATCATTGGCACTAATGAGAGGCCATTGACCACATGCCTGTCCTCTTACCTTGGGAAAGTGCAGAAACACAGATTTTTCCACCCATCGGGGACAAAAACTAGAAGAATCTCTGAGATTAGAATTATAACTTTACTCAGTCCCTTATTTTTACTGTGAGTAAAAAAAAAAAAAGAAAAGCATTTGGGAAATTTAACTGTAGATTTCAATGTCATTTAAAAATATGTTGATTTTCTAAATATTGGGAAAAAATCTCTTCGCATGTAACTAAGCTTGGAACTGCCACAACAATACATTTAACAAACTTATCCAATTTCCTCCAATAAGAGACAGGCAAGAATCTAAGTTAAATTTTTTGCTTTTATGTCCAGAAACCAGCTCCAGATATATGCACTTTCCCAATTTCCCCTGCAGTAAACAGAGGAGGACTGGGATACCTTTTGGTTTCCATAGGGGTCCAGCCTGCGCTATATTCCCTAGTGTACACAGAAAAGAGTTTCCTTTTCTGAATGTTGGGAAAGCACATTTCTTCCTCTCCTACTATGGCAAAAGTATGAGGCAGCTCCAACCAGGAGGAGGTGTGGCTATAGGCAGCAGGTGGAACCAAAGTCAGCCTCAGGAACAACAGGTGAACACACATATTTTCTGTTCACTGAGCAATGTAGGGGCTGGCCACCCACACTGCCAGCAGCTGGGTCTTTTCTTGTTCTGATTTCCTGCCAATTGGTGACAGTGACATTTCCACATTCTGGACAGCAATGCAAGGATGAGACAAAGTCATAAAATCTATTCTTTTATACTTTCTTAAGGCTGGTTTTTTTTGTTTGTTTGTTTTTCACTTCTTTGCTCTGTTTCTCAACTGCCTCCTAAGGCAAGGGAAGTGTGTGCTGGAAGTGGTAGCTTCCTTAGCAATGGAATTATCACCTAGGGTAGTAAAATGGGACCCTCTTTGTGTTTAGGTAGAATGACAGTTTGACTAGCTATACTCTAGCCCTGACTCACCTACATTACAGCTTAATTGCATTTAAACCCCTAAAGCATCCAAACCATTAACATTAAGGTACCAAGAAGGAAATTAAAATTGTTGCCTTTTATAAAACTTTCTACTTATGCTCCATTGAAAGCCCACTAGACATAAAGAACAACTGTACCCCTTGTAATTCTGACCTTCTGACACCAGAGATGTACCACTTACCTACACAGATAGCAACACCTAGGTAGGCAACAGTGGTGATGAAAATGGCCAGCATGGTTCCTCTGGGGATGGCATCTTGGGGATCCTTTGAAAAAATAAGGTGGAGGTAGGAGAATACAGGACAGAATAAGAGACAGATCACTTGGAGTTATTTCCATATTTTCAAATTTTTAGGCTACCCTTCCAGAGGCAAGTTCTAAAGAAAAGATCAAGCAAATGGCAAGGCGGTGAGCTCAAGTTCTTTTTGGACAAAGAAAAGGTGTTCAGAGTGAATAAAGAAATCTATAAAACTTTGAGCTGAACAGAAGAGAACTCTGACTGTCCAGAAGGAAGTTTTTTAATATTAGGTGTAGTTCACTCACCCAGACCTCTCCCTTCCCTTTACCTCCTGTGAATTTCATGTAGTTGTATCCTAGACCTTGGATAGGGGACCTTGGTGTTAGGGGACAATATACAAACATATTTGGCTCATTGATGATATCTGTGTGTTTATGTGTATTTGTTTTATACTGAGCTTGGGCTTGTATTAAAAAAATCACTTTCAACTGAGCAAAAGTATGATCTACTAAATTCTTCTATCCCTTAAATTTCTTATTTGGAATCTAGTTCAGAAATGACTGCAATGAGAGATATTTAATTTCCATAAGCAGGCATAAAGAAAGAGGAAAATACAAGCTTATACCAGAAAATGGGCTTTTCTCTTGCACATAAATGTATATACATTCACTGAGTTGAGTTCACATCATATTTAATTTACCATTTTATATCCTGTTTTGGGGGCTCAATCATACCAAATCAATTTCCAAGGAGCATATTGCATTATATTCAATTCAACTTAACAGGGATTATTAAATGGAAATTTAATGTATTCACTGCTTATGCAGGCTAGTGCCTGACATATAGTAGGAGTCAATAAATATTGAATTGAGGAAAGCACAGTTGCAGTAGGCATTAGTTCCTCCACCAGAGGACGTGAGACTCATCAATACAAATAAGCAGTCAATACAGTCAAGCAAAGTTTGAACTTTTTTTTAAAAAAAAAAAACAAAAAACTGAAATGCACTGATCAAGTCCATGAGAAAGGTCACTCATGGTGAATGCAGACTCAACTTGATTGCTGGGAATTGTAACGGATTCAAGCAAACCTGCCCCCACATGGGAGTAAGCCAGCCCTGTGGAGCCACTCTGTGATCATTAATTCCTCCCCACTCTTCTAGGAATTTCTGCACAAAGGCTTTGCTCTGATACATGCAGACCCAGTCTCTTCCTTCCAAACTATTGTCTTCAAAAGTCAATGTGGCCGGTGTGTGCAATGGAACAGCACGTGGCAGGAAGAAGATGGCAATTGTGGCAGAAGTGGGCCCCACTCAATCCTCTAATTCATGTCATGTTTCAAAATTTATTTTATTGCATGACAATTTCTTGAGATCTGAGTGAAATGTAAACAATTGAGTTAAGTGGGAAGAAAGGAAATATAATATATATATATATATATATATATATATAAGGATAAGAGGCATGAAGATGAAAGGCAGTCTTGTTCCTAAAACACAAAAGCTTAGTTTTTATTTACAACTAACTGCTACAAGCTCTAAAATTACTTTATAGGGGTTACATGAGAATCCAGCTTGACCCTAAGACGTTAACATATAAATTGGAATGCCAATATATTAGTATATGATCGTATATTCACATGGTCTGGTCTGGCTACATTTCCCCTGGACAGGGCTTGGAACTTTGACAAGTTCTTAGTTTTCACTCTAAAATGCTAGTATCCATCCCCCAACAGTAATCCAAAACCTAACCTTCTTCCACTTTTCTTCATTAAATATATTTTTTCTTACAACAGACTACAAGCAATCTATTAGATTTCTGCTTTTTGGGTATGCCAACCACACTCTAATTTTGCATCTCTGAAATCACATCTCATCTCTCTCCATTAGACTTAGATATTTCCCAAATCTTCTCCCAGGTACACATTTACAGATTACCTATTAGTGTGTGTGTGTGTTATTAGCAAATAGAAAGTTCGGTATGGGAATTTTGTAGCATCCCCTTGTGCCAACGCTCATTGACCTTCACTGGCAGCCTGAAGTGCCTTCTTGAGGATTCTGAGGCTGTGAGCAGAGGTCAGCATCTTGTTTATCCCATAGTGTGTAAACAATAAATGTTTACTAAGCTGAATTGAATCCACTGTGTTGTATTTCTAGTTTCGCTTTCAGAGAGAAATAATATCTGTAAGTACTGAAGTTTCCTTACCATTTCCCAAAGTATTATGACCTCTCAGTATTTACCATGCTTGACGGCTCTGGCTTTTGCCATGTCGTTACTCCTCAAAACATTCTCCTTTCTTGACTTTCACGACCCCACTGTCTCTTGGTTTCCCCTACCACTTAGCCTGCTCTTTCTCTTTTTTCCTTATAGATTCCCTCTTTACTGCTACTACTATGAATGTCTGTGTTTCCTTAGCATTGCCTTGGACCTCTTCCCTCTTTCCTCTTGCACATACCTGGGTGAACTCGTCCATGCCATAGCTTCCTGCTCTGCCCTAGCTCCTTTCCAGAGCTCCAGACTCATAAGTCTAGTGACCCACTAGACACCTGTCCTTCTGCCCTTTAGCCTCAACGGGCAAATCTGAGCTTCTTTTTCCTCCTCTGCTGTGCCATGGAATCAATTCAGCGGGTTGTAACCAGCGTTAAAAGAATAAAATAGAGGCCGGGTGCGGTGGCTCACGCCTGTAATCCTAGCACTCTGGGAGGCCGAGGAGGGCGGATTGTTTGAGCTCAGGAGTTCAAGACCAGCCTGAGCAAGAGTGACACCCCGTCCCTACTAAAAAAATAGAAAGAAATTATCTGGACAACTAAATAGAAAAAATTAGCCGGGCATGGTGGCACATGCCTGTAGTCCCAGCTACTTGGGAGGCTGAGGCAGGAGGATCACTTGAGCCCAGGAGTTTGAGGTTGCTGTGAGCTAGGCTAATGCCACGGCACTTGCTCTAGCCTGGGCAAGAGAGTGAGACTCTGTCTCAAAAAAAAAAAAAGAAAAAAATAGAATGGAACCAATGTGAAAATATCAGAAGGGGCTGCTTATAATAAAGTAAGAACCATGGTGGAAAACATTGTGAGCGCGCACTTGGTTATGATGTATGTCTTCTTACTGTGGATCATAGTAAAAAAAACATTCTTTCTATTTCCTCTCCTAACTTTAATAAAGCTGACCCCTTTCATGCTTTTCCTCTGCATAGCCTTAATTCAGGCCCATGTCAACTCTTGTCCAGACTACGGGGATATTTTCTAATTGATCTTTCTGTCTCCAGTCTTCCTACCTATGTCCACCTTCCCCTACCTTTTAACCTGTCCTTCATAATCTGTTAATGGGCTCTCTCGAAAACACATATCTAATCATGGTACTCCCTTGTCTAACCTCCTCGGTGTCTCTAGCTAGTTTGGGAATAATATCCTAACTCTACTGTTGGTAGTTTAAAGAACCTTTGAATTCTATTTGAAATTCAGCATAAAGCAAATGTATATGGTATATAGTAGTAGAGTATATGTTACAAGTTAAGCTTAATTGAAAAATCATGAAAGTATTTTCCGATGGAAAGAATGAAATAATATTATGACCATGCATGCCCTGAAAATACGACAGGCCATACTCTGTACTTTCTTTATGTGTAAACTCAAAATCAGAGATTTCTTAGTATAGATTGATAAACAAATTAAATTCTTTACTCACATACCAAACCTAAATCAAGTTAGCACTTATTTTGGGAGAAGGGAATTTTAAGTCTTGCCTTTTGAGATAGGGATAATATCTTTTAGTTCTTTGCTTACTCCCAGGGTGCCTGAGACACAGAAGATTCTTTATAAATATGCTTATTAACATTTTGAAAAAATGATTTTACTTACGTACCCAACTTCACAAATACAACAATTCCCATAAGTAGCATCTTTTTCTGTGCATTTTGACATCCCATTCCTTCTGTTCCAAATATCCCTCTCCTCTTAGTCCTATTGACTCCTTTTCATCCCTAGAAATCTGGAGTGAGTGTCCCCTCCCCTGAAAGTCTTCTCTTACTTTTTTGGGGAGCAAGTAATACTATTTCCTCTTTCCCTTGCACATGATTCTGTTCTTGTTTGTTCTAACTCAGCTAGAGTAAATCTGTCTCCCTTTAGACTAGGGGGTCCTTGAGGGAAGGATGAAGCTCTTTGCTTTTGCAGTGCCTGGTGTGAGCAGGCACTTAGTAGGTGCTGGTAAGATGAACTAACTCCTAAGTTTCATTAAGCAGCGATGCTTACTACTTGAATCATTTTCAACAAGTTTCTTAACTTTTCTACACTTCGGTACAATCTGTTTCATGCCATATTTCTGGTCAAGAATTTACCACAGTACTGTGGCTCGTATTAATAATATAACAAATCTAACTGCCTTTATTTATTCACTCAATAAATATTTATTGAATACTTACTCTCTCTGAGGATACAGCAATGAACAAAATCAAAGGCAAAGTCTTCACTTTCATGGAGTTATATTCTAGGGCAAGCAAGTCTCTCTCAGAGAGTTGGGTACCCTCTAACTGTTTGTCCTTGCCCTAAAGGTGATCCTGCCTCATCAGGATTTCTCCAGTTGAAGCACAAGGGACTCCTCACTGCTCCCAGTCTCCTCATGACTGACTGTTCCTGTTGTCTTCTCTTCCTGGAATAATCTTATAAATATAAATCCTCTTCAATAGTCAGCATCTAGCCTTTGCTTTTAGTTCAGGTTCAAAAGTTACTTCCTTGGCCAGGCGCAGTGGCTCACACCTGTAATACTAGCACTCTGGGAGGCTGAGGTGGGAGGATCGATCGAGGTCAGGAGTTCGAGACCAGCCTGAGCAAGAGGGAGACCCTTTCTCTACTAAAAAATACAGAGAAATTATCTAGACAACTAAAAATATATAGAAAAAATTAGCCAGGCATGGTGGCACATGCGTGTAGTCCCAGCTACTTGGGAGGCTGAGGCAGAAGGATTGCTTAAACCCAGGAGTTTGAGGTTGCTGTGAGCTAGGCTGACGCCACAGGCACTCTAGCCCAGGCAACAGAGCAAGACTCTGTCTCCAAAAAAAAAAAAAAAGTTACTTCCTTGGGGAAACCATCCCTAACTTAACAATTATTTGTTCAGTATTTGTATTGTGCAACCCACTTGGACAGTGCATATGGTTTTCATTTATACATATCTTCTGATGACTCTTGAAAACATTTCTTGTCTTCCAAAGTTGATTATACATTTATTGAGGTAAAAACCTGTTTCTCCTACTTTTTTCTGTGTGTGGTAGAGAATGATTATTGTCCCCTAATATCCATCCTCATTTTCCTCCTTTTAATACTAGAACCCCTAAAATTTTATCTGAGGATATGGCTACCCAGCTAGAAACTACATTTCCCAGCCTCCTTTGCAACTAGGTAAGGCCACAAGACTAAATTCTGGCCAATGGAATGTCAGCAGGAGTGATACTTACTAGTTCCAGGAATTGCTTAGCCTCTACTTCCTTATTCTCCTTCCTGTAGACTGGAATGTGATCTTGGAAATGATTAGTCATCTTAGACCTTGCAGATGAGGGCAAACCCCAAGGCATGGTGAAACAACAGAGATCATCGTGGTTCCTGGGCTACCTTTTGGAGCAGACCTTTCTTACTCCACTGGATGGTCCATGAGGTTGATTTTTTTTTTTTTTAGAAAAAGGGTCTTGCTGTGCTGCCCAGGCTGGCCTCAAACTCCTGGGCTCAAGCAATCCTCCAGCTTCAGTCTCCTGAGTGGCTGGGACTAGAGGTGTGCACTACCATGCCAGACTGAGTTCAAATTTTTATGCACTAGAAAAACAAGCTTCTATCTTGTTTAGCCCACTGTTACTAGTCTTTTATAATATTCTAGTATCCTAACTCATACAGTGTTCCTTACTGTACTTAACATAGAATAATATGGATAGAGTGCTAAGTAATAATGTGTTACTTTTCTTTGTTTTGTTTTTACTTTTTCATGAATGTTTCATGTTCTCATTCATTATGGGTTTAAAAGCGAAAGTGTGGTTCTGGTATTTTTTCAATGAATTATATTCATTTTGTTAGAATTATGACATATTATCAATATACTCCATTCTTCCGATATCACTGAATAAAACTTTTGGAAGAACTATCTGGAATAGGAATCCAAATCTGGCATTAAAAGAGAGAACTTTTAAATAACCAGGAAATTTTGCAGAAATCTTATAGCCGTGAATCTGTAGCGAGATATGGTCATATTCAATCTCTACAGCTCTTTGTGTTACCCATCAACGACACCATCACCACCACCTCTCAGGGCTGCAAAGCAGAGAAAACAACATACCTCCAAATCTCCTGAAATATTAGCACCAGCAAGAATCCCAGTAGCTGCTGGGAAAAAAATGGCAAAGACAGAGAAGAAGCCTTCACCCTTTGTGAAGCTTGGCCCAAAATTTTCTGCAAATATTGATGCTGCAACACAAATTATGAGAAAATTATTATGTAGACTTTTTTTTTTTAACAGAGTAGGAGGTAAAGTTACCTTTGCCTTCCATGGCCCTAAATGCAATTATATTCCTATATGATAAATGAAATGACCTTGAAGATGTCAGTATACTCCTGATGAACCTTACATTAATATTTGCCAAGAGTGAAAATATATATCATAAGGTTTTAGATCTCTAGGACATAGCTCTAAAAAATCAATAATTTTTGTGTCACCAGAGACCCAGGCTGCCTGATTTTAGAATCTAGAATAGATTCAAAGAGATGAAGCACTCTCTCCATTATCATACTGGCATACTTACAAATATACCACACACATTCACACACACACACCCGCACACATACAACTACATTCTCACATGTGTAAATAGCTTAAATAATCAACACACTGCTTTTCTATGCCTTTTTTTCTAATTGTTAAAGAACCTTGTGGGTGAGGCTACTTTACAATTTTGCTACTAATGTCTTAATCTCTTTACTCCTCTCTCCCAGAAATTGGATTTTAGATCCTTATACCATATTCTTAGTATGGGAGAATAACATAGTGAGGGATTTTATTCATAACATAATACTATCCCATAGACTGTCATCTAATTGCCTAAATAAAAGAGAACAATCTAGAAGAAAAACAGAAAGGAAAAGGAAGAGGAGGAAGAAAAATGTGAACGAGAGAATCTGGGGTACCAAATAAGGAAGAAAACATCAAAAATATGGTAGAAGTGGGAAGGAGGGAAAAGAATAGAAAAGGATGCTAACATGTAAAGCAAACAAGACAATTTTTAGGAAGAAAAAGGATTAGGAAGAAACAGATGACGTGATATAAAAAGGAAACAAATACTGTCAACTGAGTAAATAATGAAGGAAAATATATATTAAAAAAAACACCTCAGCAGTGGATTCCTGAGTAAGCTAGAGGGGAAAGATAGGAAGGAGTGGATAGGAGGAGCAGAACAGGAGAAAAAGAAGTCAGCTTTCATGCTCAGTGACATCATCAAAGGATGCTACACTAAGTAACTCCTACAGTCTTCTACGCCTGACAACTTGACAGTGATGCTTAAGTATTTAATGCTATAGGAAAGAAAGATGCAGAAAGTCTAGCAGGAAGAAAAAAAAGACTATAGTGCTCTGCAATGATTGAATAATTTGTGCAAGCTATTCTTTTTTCTTTTTTATCTGCTGGAGCCCCCCGCCTCCAGTGGGTGTTCAAGCTATTCTCTTTCACTGAGTATGTCTGATTCTACTATTTGATAGGGGCAACAATTCGTCAAGCACTTTAAGATTTACAAGACACTTTCACATCCACTATCTTATTTGCTTCTCAAAATTCCTTCAGGAAGTTATTATCACCCACACTTTAGCAGGAGAAGCCGAGACCCGAACACGCTAGGTGATCTGTCCAGCTGGTAAGTGGAAGAGGTGAGACCCGGCCCTGGGTCTCCTGAATCCAATTCCAGGCTCTTCCCTGGACCACACTGGCATTCCCATGGCTGGGGTCGGGGGGATGGGGCTGGTGATAGGGAGAACCATTTACTGAGACACAGCTAATTTGTAACATGTACCTTGGTAATTAAAGAAACCTCTAGACTTTTTCTCGTTGTTGGACGGAATGACAGTTCCAATGAAGAAGTTTGCAATAGCAATGAGAAGAATGACCAGAAGGATCACTTGAGCCTGGAATGGCAAAGTAAAAGGAGACCAAATTAGATACACTTGACAACTTTTTATGTAATTATAAAGGTTGTAATGGTCCACTGGAGAAAGACTGATTATTCTAGTCAAGACTCTGCTACCCAGAGTAGATAAGTGCATCCTTATAGAACAGCATTTTAATAAACATTATTCTTCCAGGGTGTCAATGCTACATTTTCAATGGGAGCATGTGGTTGGGCACTTGAGGGTTACATTTCAAGAAGATTCCAAATAGCAGGTAGGTAACTACCACAATGGTCCCGGGAATGTAAATGGAGCCAAAAATTGTAACACTGATAGATTTGAGTTTTCCTCTAGGCAGAGCACCTATGGGTTCTTTCTCTTCCTGGCGCCAAATGCAGGAGTGTGAGAACACGGAAGGATTCATAGAATTCCTGGGATGCCCAGTGCACTTGAACGCAGTTTGCTGCTGTGCGCTCAGCACAAGCACTCTGCAAGGGTGACCGGCTAAATGGTCTCCCTTCAGTTTCTCCACCATTTCAAGGTGTTTACTGGCTTGGTGTTACCACATGCTCTTTCCTCTACCTGGAACACACTTCATCCTACTCTGCGAAGCCATTTTCTTCCCATCCTTTAAGTCTCAGTTGCCTCCTCAGGGAGGCCTTTCTTGACCACTTAATCTAAATAATGACAGCTATATGGTCACTGAGGACTTACAATAGAACAGATTCAGATTTAACTTTACCTGTATTCTTTTAGGTAAATAATAGCACTAACTAACAACGCAATGAAGTAGGTAATTTTATTACCCCCATTTTAAAGATAAAGAAACGCAGGCATAGAAAAGTTAAATAATTTACTTAAGGTCACAGAAATATAAACCAGATTCAAATCCAGGCACTCTAACCACAAAGCTGGAGATTTAAATGCTACCTTCTATTGCCACTAAACTTCATTGCTTCCCTCCTGGAATCCAGTAATATAAGTAGGTTTCCTCTGTTTTTTTCTTTCTTTTTGATCTCAGTGTCCTGTTTATTTCCTTCACAGTACTTTTCACAATTTACCATTTTATATTTATTTCTTTGTTCATTTTTTTATTACTCAAATATCCAGAGACCATTTGCTGAATTAGGGCAGGGATTCTGCCTATTTTGATCACAACTTAACATCTAGTCCCTGGCAGAATGCTCAGCACATGTAGGCACTTAAGTAATTTTTAGTTAACGTGTGAATGTATCATCCACAAATAAATGCCACATAGGAATGTTTCCTATCGCCTTATATAGGTGAGAGGCTTTGGCTATCATTTCTCGTGACCGCTTGAAATCTAGTTACTTCATCTCCAGGCACAGAGGAACATTTTCAATTGTGCCAATCACTGCAGGGAGTTACAAAGGAGGCAGAAGACATGCTTCCCATCATTTAGAAATTTACTATCTGTTTTACTACTAGTTCAACCCAGATATTTTCTGGTTCCAAAGCCTATGGTGTCTTCAAACTTGCTGGTGAAATACTGGGTTTCAGAAAATAACGATAGCTTCTGTTTCTATTACCTTCTCCTAACACATTTGCCATTTCTTTTGGGCTTCAGCAGTACCCATGGGCAGCTTGAAAGGGGACACCAAGGCTTGAGATTGAGAGACACAGGCTTTCAGCGTGCACCACTGGTATGATTGCAAAGGGTCTATGCATGAAGATGGCAGCCACCTTGGTGGCTGTGCCACTGTGATGGTAGCAGAAAGAAGGACGAAACATAGGCTCTGTCATGTGACTCATGAGCTGTGAGTCACGCCTGCCTGGACTCCCTGCTTTTCAGGCATTGTGTTCCATCTGGCGCTAACCTGCTCCTTTCACCATAGCAAATAATAACAGCAATTCTTTTTGAATGTGGAGTTCCTTCTATTCCTGCAATTCGTTCAGGACCCGACCAGCAGGTGTTCATAACATCATTTTTAAGAAATTCACCTTTGCTTCCCATTCCATTCCAGCTACTGAAATTCCTAAAAGAATCACCACGGTGATGGTGCCTATAATCCGGATGTCATTGGTTGGATCCACCATCATTGAATCACTCTCCTGGGGGGGAAAATTGGTTAAATGGTTAGAGATACAGCCTTTTGGGTGTGTGTCTTATTGTAGCACATAACAGTTAAAAGAGATACTGTACACTGACACCTGGGGCCATATAGGATAATACAAAAATGAAATGTTCATAAATTTCAGAAGATAACTTAGCATTATTTTTTTCTGCGATGATAGGCCTTTGATAGCCACGGTTAAAAGTTAGAAGTTTTGGAGATTCATTCTAGTCATAGCTTTTGAAGATATTCTAGCACTAAGTAAAAGTGTGTGTACACACATATATTGTGTTTTGTTTCAGAAGACTGACTAATTATTTTTGTGTGTTAAGGGGAATCCTAGAGGAATAAAAATGAGTGGTTCATGATGAATATTGGAAATCAGTGCTCTTTAATTTAGGAACAGACCACACAAACCTGATAATGCATCCCTTAAAGATAACACACTCTATGAACTACAAGCTCATTTATTTATCTAATTTTCAAATACAGGTACTTTTCCCAGTTGAATCCAATGAATGCTATCTTTACCATAAGACAAGGACTAGAAGTTAGTTGGTAGACTAGCTAATTACTGTGCTTGTGTATACACCATCCTAGACTGACACCTAAACTAGGGAATACTTAGTTTTCTGCAGGGAGTTATTTTAACATTTGAATTTTCTTTCCCTTTGGAAATCTACAACCATAATCAGAGTATTACTGCTGATCATAATACCCATTATTTATCCAATGTTTCAAATTTTACCCAATATTTCATGTACATTATTTAGTTTGATTTGTGGCACACTTCTGTGAAATACATAGAACAACATTATTACCCCATATTATAGATTTGGAAAACAGGATTTAGATTAATAGAGGAACTGATCCAAAGTCTCTTGGCTGGTAAATTTGAGAGCCAGGACTCAAAGCCAGATCTTCTTATGCTAAGCTCAGGCTCCTTCTACTATATCCAACTTTTTCCTCTCATCTCGCCATAATAATATCCCCTAGTGCCCCGAAAAAGCAAACTAAACTGAATTATCTTGCTTGGCTGAAAAACAGAGAAGCTTTTAATTACCTTAAGAAGATCCACCACAGTCTCAGCAAATCCCACCACATACATAGCAACGGCCACTGCATTGGCAAAAGCAAAGATCAAGCCTATTGACCCACCAAACTCGGGGCCTAAACTTCTGGAAATAAGATAATAGGCCCCACCTGAAACAAGAAATGAACATGCTTTACGTCGAGGAATTGCTAGTTTATATGACCAAATGGTTATACATGTCTGAAAGCATTTGAAATGTTAATTATTCTAATAAAATATTACAACTTCCTAATAGTTTTAGGAATCCTGTGTCACCCTAATGAATAACTTAACCCTTCTTTGTACTCTATAATCTACAATAGAAGTAGCCTGACTTAATAAAATCTAATTTATTGAAACATAAATGTAAAAAGAATGCTACAAATAAGAACACAGCAAACTTTACCCCAAAAATGTTTTGTCTTTAAAAAATATCATTGGAATATTCAAATTAATAATGCAACTGAAGTAAAATTTTATTTCCAGAATTTCCAGGAATAGGAAAGCCTGGGTAGAAAATGAAGTGGGTGAAGTATATATAATTTTTTGGTATATATTTGCTGCATACAACAAGGTATCTGTGTAGTGCTATGTATTATTCATCTATAAATCAGAGTTGGTTTTTTATGTTTTTAGCTAGAGAAGGCATGATTATTGCCAAATACTCATATGTGTATGGGGGTGGCAAGTGGGAAGAAACATAAGGAGGACTTGGAACAATTGCCTCTTCCTTGCACTTTGGAAAAGTAGTTCTATATATGGCTGCATACGTCTGTGTGCATGAAACACGGAACTAGATTGGTCAGCCATCTAGAGGGTACCTAGAGTAGGTTACTGAAAATGAAAATATTAAATATTAAGAGGTCTGATTGACTGGGTGCAGTGGCTCACGCCTGTAATCCTAGCACTCTGGGAGGCCAAGGCCGAAGGATTGCTTGAGGTCAGGAGTTTGAGACCAGGCTGAGCAAGACTGAGATCCTGTCTCTATTAAAAATAGAAAAATTAGCTGTGTGTGATGGTGTGTGCCTATAGTTCCAGCTACTCTGGAGGCTGAGGCAGGAGGATCACTTGAGCCCAGGAGTTTGAAGTTGTTGTGAACTAGGCTAACACCACGGCGCTCTACTCAGGGCGACAGAGTGAGACTCTGTCTCAAAAAAAAGAAAAGAAAAGAAAAGTGTCGAGAGGTCTGATCATCGCAGACCACAGTAAATTAATGATTTCTTATACTGAGCTGGTCTTAGAGATGGACAGAGTGGGCAGAAGAATGACATTGAATAAATTCACCTAAAAATGAAACAAAATTATTTTGGCTGTGAAGAAATTTCTTTCGCTGTAGTAATTCCTTGGGGTTCAGGGGTCAAATGCAACGTGTTATCTGGGTGGGGCAAATTCCCATTGTTTCCTTCATATAGATTACCTTAAACACATTAGCTAGCCCCTTGTTACTCAGGTGGGCTTGGTCAAAGTGAGAGCCAGGTAAAAGTTGGGGGCCGAGGTGTGTTGTGGGAGTGGTGGTGTTTCAGAAGGCTCTGAGTAGGGAGACCTAGATAAACTTCCCAAGTACAGAACCAGAGGAACCAAAGAAGGGAAGTTAGAGGAACAATGACAAACTTTATCCACTTCCTTTTCTGCCTGGGCCTGCCTCCTCCTAGAAGTTTTGGAAGTAACTCTTCATTTATTTATTTTTTTCTTTTTAGTGGTCTTCCCGTGCCTGTTGGCCACTGGGAGTGCAGGGTTTGGGGTGAACCCTGAGGGCTCGGTGAAGGAGTGGTTTACTGAGTGGGAATGTCAGTAGTGCCCACTGGGGTACTGGAGAAGACCCACGCTGAGGGGACCTTAGAGAGGCAGCAGGACTCATCCAAGGTACAAAGAAACCATGCATTTTGCTGGAATACTCTATGTCTTCTTACTAAACACATAGTCACTCTCCACTTTATAAACATGTTTCATCACAGGAAATGGGTCAAAAAATCTTTTCTGGAGATCTCCTAATTTTAACTGAGAAGAATTTTGCATTGCTGTTTAGATTTGTGTTATTTTATCTTATTTTAAGACTTTGGGGACTAACTAGCAATATGCAACTTTCACTTCCAATATTAAACCAACTCTAGACATTACTAGCAACCAAGCCTGTAGTCATAAGTGAAGGAATTGGCTTACCTCCTCTTACTACTCCGTTTGTGCAAATAGCAGACATAGAAATACCTGTGAGTGTTGTCACCACCACACTAAGGCCGATGATGACGAATCCAAGACCTGCAAAATCGCCCAAGAAAGGTGTTTGGCTCCAGTACTGAGAAAAGTCACTGGTGCTTCAGGAGGCAGCTGTCTGAATCTTGTCTCCCCACGAAAACCTGAAATGTTCTAAAAGATCCCATTCCACGAAGGTCTAGCAAGTACCTGAAATGTACTAAACTTTAAAACTGAAGCCATGTCCAGGAATCACTTTCCAAGAAACACCAGCAAGAGGTGTGCAGACCTGCCTGAAAAATAAACCATTTACTCAGGGAATTTGTGCATCTCTAAAGCATGACCTGAAATGTGCCAGAGGGATCTGTTAGAAACAAGACCAGAGATGACCAGTGCAGAGCTGGACTCTACTCACCATACCTTATGTTTTCTTCTGCATCTGCTCCTCCAAATACTTAGCCAGGCTTCAAGAATATTGGGCTACTTTCTCGTTCCCATCAAAAAGAAGTATACAAAAAGTTTTTGCCTACCCGTAGCGAGTGATGAGGGCATTAGATATCTTAGAGATTTTACCTCCACGGACAAACCCGTTAGTTGCTATTGCAGAAGTTGACAACCCAGTAATAGAAGTTACCATGGTGGAAAGAAGAATTATGAGAACTCCGAGACCTGTTAGCAATGAAAGACAGAAGATACTATGTTTTACTTTTCTTCCTTGGATTTCCTATTGCTGCAAACTATATTGCCTTTACGTTTTCATGTCCATGTCTGGGGCCCCATCAGGGTTTCTTTGTGCTAAGGGGAAACCGGTATGCCTGGCATAAAGATCAAGTCGGAGGAGAACAGCTCATCAGGATGAAGGATGATTTCTAAAACAAACACAACTGAAACCGCAGCCCTGGAAAGGAAAAGTTGACTTACGCTGGTGTCCTGGGAGAGAAAGTACCCTGGCTGTGAAAAGAGAAAACATGACATTTGACCTTCTTTCTTACTTCTGAGGAAGGTGAATGAGGAAGTTGGGGGTTTGACAAAGGTTAAAACCTTCTCCGTTTTTCTCGCATCCCTTTGCCTGGGGGAGGGGAGAAGGAACCAACTTGCATTACCTTTGAAAACACTCCCGAAAGGTCAGTGGTGAACTGTTAGAGCCTGTGTTGGCTTTACCTTACAAATGATGTGCAGGTCACAAATTTAATTACCTCCTCTGACATATCCATTTGTGGCAATAGCAGAGGTGGATAAACCAGTGATAGCAGTCACTGTCACGGCTAAGCCGATGATAATCACACCAAGACCTCAGTTGAGAGAGGAAAAATAAAGGCATTAAATGGTGGAACAATCTCTTAGATTATTTACATAATTGCCAACAAATCTAGGGCAATCACTGAAAAATCACATTTGAGTTCAACATGTTGGCCGGGAAATCACACAGAGTGAGTGCTCGACTTTCAAGTTTTCTGCCTGTAATAGCTTGGGTTTCAAGAAACTCAAGAGCTAAAATGTGCATTGCTAAGTTGTACACAACAAAGCAACTATGTCTGGTCAAAATTTAATGAGAACCCCCTTTTTGATGAAGTTCTACACACCTATAAACATAATATTTGGTCTACAATTCCAAGCTGTCAATATAACGGGAGATTAAGTGTTCATCCTTCCAAGTAACTACCTTTTTATGTACATATGGTTATGTAGGGGTGGAAAATTACACATAGTATAGCAAATTGTTCATCCGGCAGATGGGTAAAGCAGACAGAATCAAATTAAACTATATTAACTTATTGGCTGTATGATCTCTGGCAAGTTACTTATTTTCTGAGCCAAAAATGGCAATGGAATTAGAAAGAATGCATGTGTAAAGTGGTTAGCATAGAGCATGGAACACAGTACACGGTTAATGGTATTGCTTTTTGGTCATATCTAAAATACTCATAATAGCTATTGCTTTTTAGAAGTCTACTATATGTCCAGCTGTGTGGCGGGCAGTATGAGAAATGCAAGGAGCAAATGAAATGAAAAAGCTGTCATCAAGGATCTTATGGTTTAGAAGGGTGATGACTACATGGAGAGGGAGGAAGTGGTAGAGGCCAGAATTCAAGAAAGGTGAGATTGCTCTCAGCTTCAAGAAACACACAGCCAGGAGGAGACTGAAGGGTAGCAGAATATGCCACTTTGCCGTAAGGATTATTTTGAGCCGAAGGCAATTGAAAAGAAGCAGATATAAGAAAAGCTCTTGGTCTCTTTCCTATTAGCCCAAAAGCAGGATGTAAATTTGTACATGCATCCCTCCTCCCCTCTCTATCAGGAAAAACAGAAGCTAATCACAAGAGACAACTGATGACCCTTATTTAGCCTGAAGAAAGCGCCACGGGAATCGATCGACAAAACAAGCCCTTTTCTTCCATTAGCTTCTGCATCTATTTACCTTCCCACAGTTTGCCACCCTAGGAACAAAAGTCCTTTTCCTTGTCTTGTCACGTCTCTTCAATTTTATTGTTCTTTTGTTAAGATGGCATATAAACCCATGTTCTAACCACCCCTTTGAGTGACTTATCATTGAGTGCTCCCACGTATACACACCATGCACACGCCAATAAACTTCTGTTTGTTTTTCTCTTGTTAATCTGACTTTGGTCAGTCTCATTTATAGGGCCCTGGCCAATGAACCAAAGGTGCGTTAGAGGGAGGCAGTTTTTCCTCTCCTAGAATACCCTCTCCAATAGAGGCTGATCCAGGATTCAGGGAGAAGGTTGTGAGGTCACAGCCACTGAACTCACCATGGCTCCATCCAGAATGCTCTGGTCTGGGCTGCTTGATACACTCCCCTACACAAAGTGAATGCTCCATAGTGTCGGCAGGCTCTCTTGTCCCATGGATGGTTAAAATGGTAGTCTGCCAAGAGAGGCTGTGAGCTGTCTGGCTATGCCCCAGGAGAAGGGGAAGTGGAAAGAGATTAAGGACAGAAATGGGAATCTGGTACTATAGGCTGCCTCCTTTGATGCGCCCAGCTCTCCCCTGGCTCTAGCAGGAGCCTCTATGCTATCTTGTAGGTTAAAGTGCAGTGGGAAGAGCGTAACTGTAGGGTACAAGCTGCAAACTTGGACCATATTGCTGTGGCCCCTGTAGATTCTTAAAAGCTAGTGGTTATAAGAAATAGTTGCACTAAACTCTTATCTATTGCAGGGATGCTGTGGTGAGCATCACCTCTGTTTCACTATGTGGCCTCAGGTCCTTATACGACTAAAGGTGATTTATTTTTATCTTTTCCGCTTATTTTGCTCTTGACTTTGTTTTGAGGACGTTTGATATCAAATGTTTAGCACATCCCAGAAACTGTGCACGAACATATAGTTTGCATTTCATGACATTAAATCTACTCTGACTTTATTATTTCCCCACCGTTATTTTCCCTTTGCCTCTTATTTTCTCAAGAATTCTTAATTCATTGCATATATTTCTGTAAACCATTTGAAACCTTGGAACAAAGTTTCATACTTTTAAACAACAAAGGATTTGCTTCTCTCACAATCAAACATAATAAAATCCTAGGGTAAGATGCAGCTTAGAGAATATTCAGTTCATTGTTTTCTCAAAGTGTGGGCTTTGAACCACCTGCTTCAGGAAATGCCTGGGGTGCTTATTAAAAATGCCCAGACCTACTGAGCTTGGATCTTTAAAAGTGAATCCCAGGATTCTGCAGTTGCCTAACCCAACTTCCCAGATAATTTCTATGCACTCCACAGTAACATGACTAAGCTACCCTCTGTCTATCTCAACTTGTGTCTGTCTGTTCAGAAAACTTCTTTAGCTTTATCTTCAAAGAATTGATTGGGAAAGAATTAACTCTAACCCACTCCCTAACTTTTAGATGAGATAGTGAAATAAATGCACAGAGTAGAAATAACTTGCCTCAGACCATGTATCTGCTTTTCACACCCGACTTCCTTGCTTAAGGCGTAAGGTTTTGGAAACCATCTTGCCCCAGCCCAGGTCTCCAAGACAGAGAACAACTCGACAGCATTGTGAGCTCATTCTACCGCTTGCTTTTGGGAACAAGGCAGCCACAACTTTTAGCTCTGGAATGGTTACTCGAGGGCTGTAGCTACTGTGACTTCTGGCTCCGGATACCCTTTGGCTTTATTCCCAAGGTCTGGGCTTGCAAATGTATTCAGACTTCTTTCCCAAACTATGCCCAAAGCAAGAGGAAAATACTTGCATTTGTTTCTTTTCTTTGCCAATAAAGGAAACCCAAAGGGGACCCAGAGACTGACTTAACTCATTTAGCTTTAGGTTCACAACAAAGGTCTGTAAAACCAAGGTTGACAGTAAGTTTCTACTACTCACTAAAGTCTATCCTTTGAGAATTTAAAAGAAAAGAAAAACACAAACCTCCATTCAAAGGAAAACCCACTGAACATTCATTAGGTAGAATTCTAATCTCTTCTAATAGATCATTTAACTACTTAAATAAAAAATCCTTATTAAAACAAGGATAGTGTCTGACAGTGTAATAAACTACTTTGCGGAAGATAGGATTCTTCATATTTTACAATTTTGCAATAAACCTGAAACTGGATTGACTGTGAAGAATAATGTAAGATCTGATTAAAGTTCAGATTATTGCCCAAACATATGGATGTTAAATAAATCGCATTAAAAAGAATTACTCTTGCCCTTGGCTACTCTCACACCTCCAAACAAAGTAATGTTTCTTGATGATCTCAATAAGTTACTAAACTGCCCTTAAAAACCTAATTTTGCATGAAACCCTGGAGCAAAACCTTGGCAATATTAAGATGCAGATTTTCCATGGAGCAGCATATACTTATTTTGGCCCCCGTGGCTGTATGCACTCATTTGATATGCACCATAAAACCGGCAAGCAGCCCTTTGTCAGGAACTCAGCAGTTGCCAAACATGAAACATGGAAAAATTATGGGAACTGGTGCCAATTTTTCAATTTATAGCTTAGCCCTTTCTTTTTCGAGTTAGTTTTCTGGTGATTCTAAATGTGTTTTGAGGAGCGAAGGCAATAAATAGTGACCAACTACCTTTAAAAATGTGAATTGAGATACCTTCTGGAGTAGTATCTGAAAGCACATTTGAACATCTATGCTCTTGATGCTAAGTCTTCCCCTGAAAGTGAATTTATAATTTTTTCCCATATATGGAGTAGAAAAGCATTAATTTTTATCACATTAAATCAGGAGCTTTGATAACATTCAAATAAATTTTCC